GTCTGTTATCACGTTTCTATATCTGTCTTTAATTATTTCTCATCTGGTCTCTTTGTGTCTTTGTACCTGTTTTTTAAGGTTTATTGTTGTTTGTTGTTGTTTGTTGTTGACTGTGTTGTTGTCCTGTGTCTTCTGTCTATTGTTTAAGTTCTTTTATTTAATCCCAGTACCCTTTTCCCAAAGGAGGCCTTTGTCTCCTGCCAGGCTGTTATTGTAAATAAGAAATTGATCTTAATTAACTGGTAAAATAAAGGTATAGTAAAAAATTTAAAAAGTTAGTGTGCATTGTGTGTGTAGGCACCGTATCAGTGAACACGTTTACATGGTAAATATTTTTGTGTCATTCTCACATCTGTCAAAACATACGGGATGACCAAGGTTTCACACACACACACACACACACACACACACACACACAGAAATGAAACAAAAGTCTCTATTATAGTTTATCTTTTCTTCTGGAGCTTCACCTTCACCTATAAATAGATAAACAGACCCGGAATAAATTTTTTTTTTTAATTTAGATTTTGTTTACATAATTCCAGTAATCGATATGTGAGAAACATGTTACACAGATTTTCTTCCTAAAAAAATATTGTTTTATGTTTTATCTCATGTCCTTTAGAGGAGATCTGTAGGGGACATTAGGTCTGAATTGACACAAAAATACATTAAAAGCCATCAATTTGGCATTGATAAGAACTCATTTGCTATCATTATTATTACACTTGTCTCATTTAAAATAATATTTTAACACATTTCATCATGGAAAATTAATATTCAATTTAAAAAAACTTTAATTAAAAAATATTACTACTTAAAAACTTGTTGTTCAATGGGTGACGATCTGAAAATTAGGATGAGTCAGTACACGTACAACGTGATGAACACATCATGCATGGTACATCAGAAGGCAATTCTTGGTCTTTGAGACACAAAAAAACACTTTGCACCTGCAAATACTGCCTGCCTCACTTAGTGCTGTATTCCTTAAAAATATGGAAAATGAGTGGAAGCAAGTCCCATCCTCCCCTACAAAGGACATGGACTTGGAAGTACAGGCTTTCATACACAAAAACCAAAAGCATTATCAACACAAACATGATATTTGTATAAATTTGATCAACTGCCTCTCTAGGGCCATAGAACATGCTTGCTGTGATTTTCGCCATTTTGACAAGACGGAACATTTTCTATGTTGGCCACACCCACATTTGTCTGACATCACTACAAACCCCAGGATGTACTCTACACAGTACATTAGGACTCAAACAGGCTCATGCATGGTGTTTGAAATAGAGGCCTCAATGCCCTGCCCCCCCACAGAGGACAAAAATGAATTGCAGGGTCTCAGGAGGATAAAAACAATGAAGGTGCCAAATTTACCGGTTTTAACCTTAAGATTGCTTTTACTTAAATTTTTTACAGTTGTGATGCAAAGACATTTGAAGGGCACACAGATCTACATGAAATTAATCAAACTGCACCAACAGAAATATCCTGCAGAAATGAAAGTTTAATCCCAAATTATGCTGTCGATCTACTGAAATTGTATGACAATCAAAGCATATGATATTGATAATTATCACAATATATGTCAAATCATTATTTCTTTCAAGTTTAAAGGTCGATTTTTGCTACTGAGTGAAAAAGAAACCAGATGGTTAATTATGTGGTTCAACTTTTCTTTATGGTCAGAATGAGACACATTGATGCCAAACAGGGGATCACTTCACAAATCTGAGGTAGAAAATTCAAAAATATTATGAGACAATCTTTTTTCAAAAATATGATTAATAAATATTTAAAAAGTATTTTAATTGAATTGAATTAAACCAAATATTTTTTTGCAATATATTGAACAATTATTATAATTTATTGAGGAAAATTATACTGTGATAATTATCATTACTGTTTTATTGCCCAGCCTTAATGTAGTCCCATTTTGGAAAGTTGAGGTGTGCTTTCAACAATGTAATTTCCCCATAGTAAATTAATCTACATGTTATCGCTAACTTCTTTCTGTTCGCAAAAAAAGGTCCATGAAGTCCTCACAGTCTGCTGTGCAAATTGCATATAATTTAAAATTGTCCATTTTATATAGGCTACCCCTGCAATCCAAAGGATGTAATAAGGACACAGAGCAATACAAAGAGGACATGTCTGTAGGTATTTCAAATGATCACTATGGGGAAATTTAAGTCAATTTTAAAGGACTGAGAAAATAGGACTCTTTGTCAATGTGACTGCTTCTAAATTTTCACTGAAATGGTTTTAGTTAATTGTACCTGTTAATGTGTTATAACTGGAATTTTGCCCTTGACCTTGTACTGCATACTGTACAAGGTCTTGGCCAGGTCACTCTTGAAAGAGATTTTACATTAACCTGGTTATATAAAAGATATATATTTAGATAACTTTTTAAAATAACACAGAGCTTGCAGGCAAGTAAAGCGACCACTTATGCCAACAACAGTCAGGGAAAACTTCCAGAGGCAAACAGCTGCTCGCTGTCCAAAGGTTTATTACTCAGAACAGGGAGGAGGTTCTGAATCACTTATAGCCTAAACTCCAAAAATCTAAAAATCTGCATCAAACAAGACATGTTTTCTTTCAGATAATTGAAACCCTGACAGAAAAGAACCATAATCCCACAATATGCCCTGTCGGAGATAGATACCCCAAATCAAATTTCATTAAAGAAGAAACATGTCACACTACAAGTTGGTGATCTGAATAAGAGTTAAAAATGTTTCTCAGTCAAAGACCAACAAAATATGACAAGGATTCTATAAAAACCTGTCACAACCTGAACTCTGCATAGGCCAACAGTGACATCACCGGTAGATCAATAACCTGAGGTCACTATAAACTCATTAAGTATCTCAGATATCATGTCTGTTTCATGTTTTAGCATTATACCACAGCAGTGCAATAAGGTTACTAGCAAGTTGACTAGCTGACCCCCTTTTAGGACCAACAGTGCTGATTAGGAGAAAAGTGATATAAATAACCTGGCATGTGTTTCATCCCCCAAAATAGAAAATAATCTCTGTAATTTAGGCATAAACAAGCACTATAAAGATGATCCGGGTTATCAATGTAAAATCAATACAATGCTCACCTTTGTGAAGAGGATGCGGAGATAAATGTGCAAGCAGGGTTCTCGGTTCAAGACACTGAGGAGACTCAAATCGGAGACCCGGCAGAGCTGCAGGAGGTTCACAGTTGGAACTGATCTGAGGTCAGCTTTTGTTATTTTAGACGGTCATGAAGGAAGGTCGACTTCAAGAGAGTGAATCATTGATGAAAAGTTACAGAGCTAAAAAAAATAAGGCGGAGCAAGGCTTCAGACCTCAAGTGACTGCGCGTGTGTGTTTGAAACTGGAGAGGTTTGGCTGTCCAGACTTCAGAAGAAAGTAACTTCCTGTCTCTGCTCTTCACTTTCAAAATAAAACAAGTAGCCTATACTTTTTTTTTTTTTACTTTGGACATTTATCTGTATTTTTAGAACAAAGGTCATTAGAAAACAATTTTTATTTTGTACAATAAAAAATCTCATTATTTATAGATTACAATAAATGTATGAATTCAACATCATTTGTGTACAGAGGATGATTATGAAATATTGTTACTAATGTAATGAATGCTTGTGAGTCACTGCTAATATTCATTTCATTCTTTCATCTTTCTTAATAACAATAATTTGCTCAGCAGTATATTAAAGAAATTGTTCACATTTTGGGAGATAAACTAATTTCTTTCTTTCCAACAATTAGATAAAATAAGACCTCTTTGCTTCAGCTTTCTTCTAAATGCCTGTGCATTTAGAAGAAAGCTGAAGCAAGGAGGCGATTAGTCTAGCTTAGCATAAAGATCAAAACCAGGGGAAACCAGCTAGCCCGGCTCTCTCTCAACTGTTTTTCACCATGGAATACTTACAGTGACCCCCCAAACTCCCCACAAAATGTTCTTTTTACATTCTTTCAGTGTACACAACAAAAGAGATACAATATAATGAACTTTAGTGTTAGTGTTAGTGTTAATAGCCATCTTTTTGAACTTCCTACAGGGCCAGGCTAGCTGTTTCCCCTGCTTGGCTCATTGCCTCTTTCCTCTAGCTGTAGTTAATGCACAGACATGAGAGTGATATTGACTTTCAAGTTCAAAGTTCAATTAGTTCAAAATTCTCAAAAGCACATCTACTCTTTTTCCCCTCAATAAAATGCGTCCATAATCTGTGAATATATGCAAGTATTTTTCATTTCAAACATTTAACTGCTGGATACAAGATTTCTCCTACTTCACTGAAAGTTTATGCATGCTGGAGATTTCAGGTTTCTGTGTCATACTATATACTGAACTATTATTGGCTAGTTGTGATGTCACAAAATCATGCTTGTATACATGTTTCCAACTCAGATTTAAAGTGAGCACAGATAAACTTTTCCCCTTCAGCAGATGAATGTGAAAACTTTGTTCTAGAGTCCATCCCTGCAAATACATTCTCATAATAAGGCTAAAAGACCTTAAGGGAACAATCAGCAAATCACATGTTTGAGTGGCGGGGAACATTTTCCAGTTATGCAAATAAGCATCATTTTATTTTGAATGCAACAGACCAGGTGTCTCCAGTCTCCTTAGCATACTCCTCCAATGATAAAAATAAGACCTGCACACCTGCTGTTCCTTCTTGTATTAAACATTTACCACCAACGTCAATTGAGCACTTTCATTTTGCTGTCAGGCTGCAGCAGCGGGTTATCAGCAACGCTTGTTTTTCTGGCCTCTGCAGTGGAACAAGATGATAAGCAGTGAACGCAGAAGGGGCGTGAAAGTTATCACCACCACAGCCAACTTTAAACGGCAATATGGTCAACAGGGGTATTTGATATAAGCAAAGTAAGTTTACAGTCAATAGTACAACACACACACAACACACCTGCATGGGCACAGGAAATGCAGTGTGTGATCCCTCAAATAAGACAAGAGGCGGTGGCTTTAATCAGACAAGACAGCTTTGGACGTTTATTAATTCATATGGATTGGATGACATTTGTGACCCAAGATTATCTTGACACACACGCACACACAAATCCCACCAGAGAGACACAGTAAGTAAGATTCCAAGAGCCCTTAAAACAGTCCAGTAAAATAACTTCCGTCTCACAAATCAAATCCATACAGTATTTAACTAATCCTGACATAAAATGTAAACATTTTAAAGAACACAGTCTGGAGTTTCCATTGCATTTAAACTGCAGAGAGCTCCAATGACTAGCTCCAATGTTTTTTAGTGCTAAAAAATTGATTTTTGCACTCTCTAGTGACCAAGTGCAAAAACACCATTGTGTTTAATCTATTCGGGTTTCACAGTTGTGCTAAGACGCCAATGCAAAGTGTCCTTTTCATCTACTAAGAATTGCAAAAATAATAAATTAAGATCTTTTGCATATAGATATAAAAACTGTTGTATTTGTTCTGTGACTCTGATTCTATATAGGAGGGTAACGTTTTAAATTACAGCTCCTAAATCAATTGAGTTTTCACATTAACAGTGCAATGAGAAAGTACAATGTGGACAATTTCGAGTAAACACAAATGACAAATACTTCAGAACAACCAGCAGACTGAGGTAAGGCTTTCTCTTCGTTTTAAGTTGCTCATCTGCCACAAGCCTAAGCTTTTTTCAACAGTGTGAACAAAGTAGCTTATTTATTTAATTTTATTCCGTTACAGTTAAGAATTAGTCTGATAACATAATATTAACATATTAACTGTTACTGAATACAGTACTTTTGTCTAAACTTTTTTATTGCACAAAATGTGAAGCTTGAAGGAGCCTCACTGATCAGCCTCATCTACTGCATTTTACTCCTCTTACTTGCTTTTTGGCCACATATCACCCCCGGCCCACAATCCTCCCCATCGATTTCACTTTAGTTGACCCTCATATTTTTCTCACTTTCTATTAGTATATCCAGTATTTCAGTTTTCCCCCCTTTTGTAGATTTCAACTTCCATGTCATGGGCTTTGAAACTGGTGTTTTGTTCAAATCTGGGTATGGTATTCATTAAAATGCTTTTATCTCTTGTGAATTCACCTCTGAAAGGCTGCGGGTACATTTGCAATTGACCTCTGCTTAACGCTTGCATCAATAGGAAGGATTCTACTTCAGGAAGTAAAGGTACAAACAGTACTATTATCTCCTGTATGGCTTTGAGCGGCAGCAGATACTGATGACTCGTCTACAGAAGAACCAGAAGCAGGTAACGTAACGGATGTCTATTCAAAGAAATCTGTTTCCATCAGTCTTTAGCGCACCTTTGTTGTACTGATACAGAACCTTTAACATCTCAACGGAGTATAGAAACCTTTTTGCACAAATGCACAAATTAAAACAGGTGGTTGGATATAAACAAAGTTTTAGACAAACATACCATAGACTGGCAGATTTGTAACGGATGCAAAACACTGCCAGTGGTGTTCGGGCGTTTCACCATCATCAGCCTCCTTCTATCCACCCTCCAGAACAATTTGTCCATCATCTTTATGATATTCCTCCTTCCAACATCTCCTTTTTTTTTTTTTCCTTAACCCTGATCGGACCTCACCACCCCCCTCCCCCCTCCCTCTCTCTGATGGGTACAGGACACCAAACACATGAAAAAGGGGTCAGGGTCTTTTTCCCTGCAACAGAATGATTTTGGCACATGATGATTGGTGGCCCAACGCCGCCGGTGAGTGAGGGCGGGATCATTTGAGTCCCTCGTCTGTGCTCTTGAACATGAGAATGGCGTTGGAGATCTTCAGAGCAGGGCCTAGCTTGATGCTCATGATCTTCACAATGTCGGTCTGTGTCAGCAGCAAGAAGGCCTCCCCGTCAATCATCTGGGCAGACACAGACACAACAGTGTTGATATAACTGGACGTGGAGGTCACAGATCAAGAAAAGGTTTGTTTTGTCATGGTGCGTGAACAAAATAACAGAAATTCCTGCATTAAAATCCTACTTAAGTAAAAGTACACAGGTATTATCATTCTGCAGACATATTGACCCCTGTGAATGACATACAGTATATTATCATGTATGACATTATTAAATATTATAAATAGATGTTAATACTGTTGCATCAATACATAAGAATTGTTTTACTGTTGTAGTCGAAGTGGAGCTAGTTTTAACTACTTCATATCCAGTACGAGATACTTCAGGGGAGAAAAAAGAAGTAAAACAAAGTGTATTCTCTTTTTAGGGAATTTTCTTCTTCTTTGTTTTTTGTGAAAAACTGAGCAATTAGACTTATGTGGGCCTCAAACTGTGATTTAAATGAAACTTTGTGAGAATTTTATAGGGGAAATCTCTCTTTAGTGGAACCGCTGCTAACAGGACAACTGAAATGTGACATGGGGCCCCATTCAGACATTGCTTTTTTGTGAGCCTCTCTGAGCAACTAGTATAATCTTTAACAATGCTTTGTACTTTATCTGAAAAGTAACTTGTAACTATATCTGTCAATTACAAGTAGTGAACTAAAAAGTACAATCTTTCAGTCTAAAATGTGGTGCAGTAGTGTAGTAGAGTAAGTATACATCAGCACAAACTGGGAATACTCAAGTAAGTAAGCCATTTTATTAGGTACAGTACTTGAGTAAATGTACTTAATTACTAACCACCACCGACTGTGTATCTAACAGTTGAAAACATGGCTTAATTACGGGATAATGCAACAGTACAAGTGTCAAAAATCATGATGACATACCAAACATAGTTGAGCGGCATCACAAAGAGCTAAAACAACAGCAAACTGTGACAAGAAAATACTCCACACTACAAGACACTTAACAGAAAGTAGATTTCACTGTTCTCACATCTTCAATGTTACATGCCAGTAAAAACTGCAAAGGACTGTCTACATTAGAAAAAGTGAAATGTGGGAATTAACCTCATATTTTATTCACATACACTTGGTCTCACCTCTTCTTTGAAGAGACGAGCCTGTTCTTCACAGCCAATAAGATTCTGGACAAACCTGAAGACCTGCAGCACGAACACATCCAATTTCAAATAATCATAACAGACAGAGAAATCAGAAATGCCAGAGAAAAAAAAATAAAGTAGGTTTAGTGATATGGTTTGCTAACCTCCTCAACGCTCCATGCTGCCACCTGGCTGGCGTGAATGCCCTGAACGCCGGGCAGCAGCTTACAGTGCTGCTCCCAGCACAGAGACAGAGTCCTGTCTGACTGACTGCTCAGAGCTGACATGAACAGGGAGGGATACACACCCTCTGAGGACATGTCTGAGGACAAACAAAAAAACATGCTTGGATTCAACTGTTGATTTCTGAAAAGAGGTGTGTTAATCTCTGGATAGACATCAGTCTGTGACAACATTCACACCTGCAGGTGACATCAAGCTTACCACTTAAATCCATAATAAGCTTCTTAAAGCAGGACAGGGCTACAAAACCATTTCATCAAAGTAGGATATGTATAGTGCTTTTAGAAAACTCACTCTGATAGTCTCTCTGCTGGTTCTTCCTGTATTTGGGAGGACGGCCAATCCTGAAAACAGAAGAAAACACAAATTTTAGAGAAAACAAAACATGCATGCGCACGCACACGCACACTTTACCTGCCACGGTAATGGGTCTTCTTGGTCCTCTGGCCAAAAAAGAGGTTCCTCTTGCACTCTGAGTCCGACAGATCGGCCTTCAGCCTGCCCTGGTTACGCTCAGCCAATGGGCAGCCAGATATGCAGTGATGGGCAGTGAAACGACCGGTCACATGGCCTGAACCATCGCAACCAGGAGTTGGACACTTCCTGTTTCAAAGATAGAGCCCGCCAGTGCATTTTAAGAAGATGTAAGATCAAGTCACATCAACACTGATGTCAGGTATTGATGTGTATTTTGAATGGTTGGCCCTGGTGAATAAAGCCTCCATTAAATGACCTAATGACAGAGATGAGTTCAGTGCTGACCTGTTGTGGAAGCTGTACTTGTTGGTTCTGGGGTGGCCGATGGGTTTACAGGGAACAGAGGAGGGGTAGGTGGACTGACCTGTAGCAGGAGGCTCCCTCACACCTACATACATTCAAAGACAGATAGATGAACCCACACATGTATACACGTGATGTTCACAAACCCTCTTGCAATGCTGTAGTATATGGGAGATTATGCTGTTGCCAACAAGTGGTGTAAATGCAGAGAGGCTGTTTCATTTGAATTTTGAAGAAAATCGACTTCCAGTTTAAGTACAGAGTGAAGTGGCTGCTACCATGCGGCTGATGTGTTTTGGCGTCCCGTGGGGGAACTTTGAGCGGGTGACCGGTTGCCTCACACCAGCCTGCTGGGTGGATGTCGGGATGATCTGAGTCCATCCACTCATCATACACGTGACTCCAGCCATCATAATGGACCTGAAAGAGGAATAGAGATGCAGCTTTAACACATACAAAATACTGTATATGCACATACACTCAAACTACACACAGCTCAACTTGTAAACTTGTGTAATGGGTCCAGGGTTAGTTACAAAGATGTACATTACAGTATCAGTACATGTTAGCTGTAATTCCAGCATGCACATTAACAGACAAGTACACTTGGATAAACCTGTAATGGACTTGAGGGAGCTGACAACACACACATAAGCAAACATGCACACCCGAGTATTACCTTAATGCGATGAGTGTCGACCTCCTCGACTGTAGCCACTCTGATCAGACCAGGGCTTCTCTTGTCCACGGCCTCCAGTTTCATCTGAGGCTGGAAACTGTGGGCTGCACGCTGTAGACAAAGCAGAGGTTGATTGGAAAACATGTCAAGTATGCTTTCCATATAGCGTTGGCTTTAATTACTATGTTTTTATACTACTACTTTTTCGGGCCTTTTATAGGAGATTTTACAGTATAGAGATGACTGGAAATGAGGAGAGAGAGATGGAACATTAACATCTGTTATTTAAAAGTCCCACCTAAACTGTGCCTAATGTATTCACTGCAGCACTCTTAGAAATCTGATATGGATTATAATCATAATCAATATAATCATCTCATTATTTTTAATTACTCTGACATTTTCTGTCTCTCTTTGCCTACACCATTGTTGCTGTTTTCTCTCTCTCTGTTCTCACAGAACCACACTACAGATAAACTGTAGGCCCAAATGTAATAATTTCTTATCATACTGTGAATAAAAATTGTACATTTATTATTTGTTCTCACCACTTTAAAGGCGTCAGCGGCCACTGCCTTGGAACCTGTCTCCTCCAGGTAGCGAGACCAGGAGAATCGGCCCTGGTCCGGGTAATCTGGTATAGCAAACAATAAATTCACATCAGTCAGATAATACAAATATAAACATTTGACCCCTACATGCCACCTTGCACATTTTTGCTTATAAGTTCTTGATATTTTTATTATTTGTGTAATTTGAGCTCATCTTTGTGATTATAAAAAAAATGTGTGTGTGTGTACCGTCAGGGTTCTACAGTGCAACCATTTCAGTCGCATATGCCCCTAAAAATAGATACGTGCATCGTCGGCAGCTGAAAAGAAAATAGGATAGAATAAGACAAGGAAGGTCTGGTTTTGGCTAGCTCGACATTTAGCTATACCGGGTGCCTTTTGTTGAAATATGCTCAACTTTTCATAAAGACCAGGTTCACTTTCCGTGAACCAACCAATCATAACCCGGATGAGGCGGGAGATTAAAAACAATTCGACATTCTACAGCAAACAAATGTTTAAAACGTTTAACACATTGTTCTGCGATATAATCAATACAGTAACATTGTGTAATTAATATACTATTATAGAATTATACTAAATGTATATTATTAAATTAACATTATACTTATACTAATACACTTATTTATAGTATAGTGTGTCTGCAGTGGACAGATGTAGATTTAGCCAGAACCAGGAAGCCTGGGTGCCAATATGTGCTCCGTCTAGCCGCTCCTCCTCCTGAGAGCAACACGCTCCCCTTGTTCTTTTTTACACCTGTTACAAGTTATTGTTATAAATATTGTTCAGTAATCTTGTTTAAGTGTGGCGTGGGTTGTGTTGGTGTATCATGTATCGGTCCCCGCTTCCAAAACTACAAGTCCCACATGCCACAACCCACAATGCAATGAGTTTACTGTGATGAGTGTTTTCTCTTAGTGTTTTAAAAGCTGTTTTAATGTTGTAAAAAGCTTTGTCAATATTTTAAGGTCCATGCCGAGTGTCCAGATACCAGTGTCTTCACTTCCATAGTCCTCCACTGTTTTTTTTTATCATAATTGCACACAAGGAGAAGGAGCACACACGTAGTATAAATATGTATATAACACATTGTATCTTAATAAACTCTGTTTTACTTAAAAATTTCTCTCTGTGTCCAAAATTGTTTCATTAGGACATGTGCTCTTTGGGAAACGGTTAATGTAGAGTCCTGACTGGATGTTGTCCTTAATCCTAGTTCCCAAAGGAACAGAGGGACAAGAAGGATAGCTGGTATAGACTAGATAGTTGTTGTTAATAATTTGTGACAATGAACATGTTAAATAAATTAAATTAATGATTAACAGGGAACACACTGGTCACCTTGGGGTGGTGTTAGGGGCAGGTTCCTCTCCTGGCACCAACCAATAGGATGAATGTATGGACTGCTGGAATCACACCTACATATTTTGACAAACAACAACAACGTCCAACGTTGAGTTACAATAGAAATTTCTGTCAAAATTGGCAGAGGCAGAAATGATATGAGTGATAATAAACAAGCAATGCTGCAGTTTGGTAGATTCATTATAAGAAAGATTCTGTGATTGAAATAAGTTATTAGTCTATTAATTATTCAGATCTACTTGGACCATAGCGTTCAATAACTGTCAGGTTTTAGAGCTGCTGACCTTGATGCTGGACCAGCTTTACTGTGGGTTTTGCTGATGCTTATTTAAAGCTTTATACTAACTACATGTAATGTAAAAGGCCTCACTCATGATGACAAACCCACTTATGACTCAACTGTACAGCTCTAGTGCGTTAATAGACTCTTTTAGCTCTTTATTTTGGGTTTATGACACCTTTACTGTCTCAGCACCATTATTAACTTTGTTTCCAGCTGAAGCAGAGAAGCTCTTTTCAACAAATTGCTAAAAATCCTGACACATTTAGCAACTAGCTAGTGAAGAAAGTGGAGCATTTAACAGCGAAAGAGTCCAATATTTTCCTTAGGAGTTGGTTGAGTCCAAACCAGAGAAAATATTAAAAGAGCTCCATGACGCTCTTCTGATAATTCTCAATCTACGCTGCGTAAACAATTTCTTAGAATATCACAAGCCTCAGTTTCTCCACAGCTGCTCAGTATCATATTTATTCAAGATGCTTTCTTGAGTCATTTCCCAAAGCTCAAACATTCCCAATGTTTTTGAGGCTCACCAGTAGTCGTATGTGTCATCCCAGTTGTCAAAATGAACCAGGAAACGGTTGTCCACCACGTCAGTGACGGTTGCTACACAGATGAGGGAGGGGTTCATACGGTCAACAGCCTCCAGCTTCATTCCTATCTCGAAATCGCACTTCACATCGATCTACACAGGAAGTAGAAATATTAGAGATTACATGGCAAGTTCACATTAGGAAGTAGAGACAGACAGGGCTGTGGACTAGCTGATAAATTAGGTGAAAGTTAAACAGAAACTGAGCTGTTGGGAAATTAATTGTGCTGTTTCTAGATTTGTTTATGGATTCGCCGTTAATTAAAAAAAGTGACAGACTGCTAAAGTTTGATAAATTGAAGCTTGAAAGTTGCAAGCAGTAAACATTAGTGTGCAGAAGGAAGCAAACATCAACCCAAACACGAATAAAGCTTTATGATGTCCTCGCATTAAATATTAATATGAATACAAATATCAGACAGGACATCAGGCCTCCTTTTACAAAGCAATGCAGGTGGAAGCTATAAATACTTAAAGTCACAATATTGTTTTTTGGCACTTTTGGTCTTCAACTATCACTATCTACTTAAAGTAAAGTCAATATTTTCTGAGAGAGATAGAAGGTGCAGAACTTTTTATTAAAACAGCTTCTCATTGGATCTGGAGTTTTCCCAAAATCATTCACCTCATCCATTCATGCTTGTAGATAATACAACTACCGTATATTATATAGTGGCAGTTACCCTCCCAGGACTGGCAAAGAGTTCTTTGGAAGCCACTTGTGCTTTAGTCATTCTCAGGTAGTTGGTCCAGGTAAACTCCTCCTCTTTACAGCCTGCAGGAATGACATAAATACAGAGAGAAGATTGAAAGAATTAATATTGACATTTTTGGGAAGCGCACTTATTTTCTTTCTTGCAGAGAGTTAGACAAAAGGATTGCTACTACTCTAGTATCTCTATGTTAAATATGAAGCTATAGCCAGGAGATGTTTAACTTAGCTTCGCATAAACAATGAAAACCGATGGAAACAGATATCCTGGCTTTAAATGGAAACAATATCCACCTACCAGCACCTCTAAAAATCACTAATTAACAGTTTATATCTCATTTGTTTAATATGTACACAAATCGGGCTACTGACTTCCTGGAGCCTCGCCGACACCATGATGTTGTCGAGCAAGCAGTGGAAACTACACCATGTTACTACCTCTGGCCAAGAAATAGTCCTATACATGACCCCCCATAAAATAGTCCTATACATGACCCCCCATAAAATCACAATGTATCATTTCTCCTCTTTGGTTTTTGTACAGATAAAAGAAATGTGATATAACATGTTTATTAGTGAGTTTTAGAGGCGCTGGTAGGTGGGTCTGTTACCTTTGGACAGAGCCGGGCTAGCTGTTTCTATTCTTCATGCAAAGCTGAGCTAACTTTATCTTAATTTACTGCACAGGCATTAAGAGTGGTATCAACCTTCTCATGAGTGTATTTCCCAAAACATTGAACTATTACTTAAGAATTATCCCGTGAAAAGTAAGCATAAGTGAAGCACAGGGTTTTTTTTGTCATGCTATTTACTGTAGATTCTAGTTGCCATTTGGTCTTTCACAGTGTCCAGAGTGTTTTCACCTCTGACCTTTGGGGGTGTGCAGTTTGTGTCCTGTGCTCTCACACCAGCCTGCAGGGTGGATGTCGGGGGAGTTGGCATTCACCCAGAAGTCGTGGCAGTCAGAGTAGCCGTCAAAATGGAGCCGCAGCCGGTAACCACAGACCTGGATGATGACATGATGCATTAGAGAAACAAAAGCACGCTGGAGAAGGCGACACCAGGATGAACTCCTCCAGCATGCAAAGCATTCTGTGAGTGAATGGTGAGTTTTAATCCAAAATAATCAGGCTGGCCATTAAGATCCATTAACTGCTTTAATGGACGTCTGGCTCACCTCAGCCACAGTGAGGACAAAGTACATGGACGGATGTTGCGGGTCAATGCCTTCCAGCTTCATGCCCTGTTTAAAGCCGTTCTTCACTGTTGGCACTCTCTGGGACTGGACACATGGGATAATAATATTTGAGTACAGAACACAGAGATTAAAATAAAGTGAAAATGAATGATCCTTGTGGGGAAATTTGATCAGGACAAAGAAAATATCAGAACACATCAAATTGTAGACTAGACTAGTTGAGATTACAGCGTTTTCATCATTCTCATACTACTTGTGTTTTTTCCTCAGAAGGACAGAAGATCTCATCAAGATAAAGTGATGCAAAACAGTTAAAATTGTTAGAGAAATTACTAACTTTTAAATGAAACCACACTAAGAACACCCTCAACATCTCTGTAACAGAGAAAAAATAATAATATTGTACACCTTAGGCTGCATACATCACTTTCTCACTCGTAAATTTACATTTCTCATTTCCTCCCTTGACAATGCGGCACTATATTTTTCCCCTCAGGACGATAGATTTGCCCCTGTGCAATACGTAGAGCTGCAGAGCTGAAAAATAAGTGATTAAAAATCATGGGTATACTGGGTGATGCTTTGAGTGCATGGCACAAGCTCAGGCTGAAACTACCAGTATGAATATTAAACTCAACATACCTCTTGAAAAAGCTTGTTGGGCACAGCAACAGCTTTGCTTTCCTCCAGATACTGAGCCCACGTCCACTGCTCTGTCTTACTGTCTCCCGCTTCACCAAAAATACAAATTAAGCATTTAGTTGATTCATCTCTGCAATGTGTGTTACAGCAACACACTACTAGAGCACAAGCTCCAACATAAGGAAACGGGGAAGAAAGAAATTTAATGAACAGAAGACGGAAAAAAAGTCAGGAGGAGGGACACAGATTCCCTGAGCAGCAAGTGTTTAATGATTCCTGATTCTGTCATTTTACGCACAAGTTTAGAAGGGAGATGTTCATCTAAAAGTAAAATATTACCTGAAGTTCAATTTCTGATACCACTACAACACCTAATTAGTACTTCTATTCTTCAACATGTCCTGTCTACAGGGGAAAGAATTGCAGAAAAGAAAGAAATGTCATGGAAGGACGAGATAAAAGGTGTTAAGGACGTACAGGGACTGGATGAAATAAAGCATCACCAGAACACAATTCAATGAAGCAGCCCTATGATAAATACAACCCATCATTTTTTGATAGTGTCAGAGAGATGGAGATTCAATTTGTTTTAATTGTTAAATTGTTATGACTTGTGGTGTTATTACAAGAAATTGCATTATATTCAATTCAACTTTCATTTACAATGATGCTGAGATTACACCATGGAAAATACAAACATTCAAAATCACCAAAAGAAGATCAGTTTAAACAGTTGCAGGCAGGTAATGGATGGTTATTAAATGTCCAAGAGGTATAAGAGCATTATGTTTTAGGTCACATTGTTAAGAGATCCCATGAGTCTGCTGAACTAATTCTAAAAGCAGATCTTCCAAGACCAGTCCTGGCACAGGATACACGAAGAACCAGCCAGTCGCTCTTGCGCTAAAAGTGAACCGGGGTTCCAGTGCAACAGTGATGTATGATGGTAATTTTCCAACCAGAGCTTTACAGACACTAATGATTACTGCATGTCTCATTGAGAGAAGACCAACCAACCTTTTAATAGAGGATACAGTGGTGAGTAGTGTATCACCGGTTATAACCCTCAGGGCTAAGTGGTAAACAGAATCTAAGGGCCCAAGTGTGGAGGCTGCAGCGTGTCTGTAAATTACATCCCCATAGTCCAGAACTGATGGGAAGGTTGATTCAACAATTCTCTTCCTACAAGTCAAAAGGATGGTGGTTTTATTTCTGTATCTGTCTGTCTTTTGTTGTAATATGCCTACACGGTTCCTGATGTGTTATTTAAATGTAAATTTGACGTCAAGCCTGATGCCAATTATATAAGCATTCTGTCTTCGATATTTGAACCACTGACCGCAAAGACATGCAGGATGTTATGATGTCCATTGTAAGGCGCCCCCCTCTGTAAGTAAGGGAGAGACCAACAAAAAGACAGATGTAAAAAATGATTACCTCCTCTGATGTGTCTGCCGTCTGCTTTAGAATCATCCATTTTCTCATCCTAAAAAAAATTTGAATCAAAATGACACAAGAGTAAAGAGTAGAAAGACAATAAGCCAACACACATTTTGTAATATTTGCAAGGAATATTTGATCTTGGTCGTTTTTAATCAACCATGTTCAACTCATTAAATACTTTCAGTCATGCACATCTGACTAAACTCATCTGATATGAGAACATCTGGTAATCTCTGGATGTTAAATGAAAATAACAATGCTGCATGACACTGCTGTCCCACCGTGCCTTCGATGTCAGAATCTTCCTCAGAGGGACTCAGGTATTCCTTCCTCTTCCTCTTCCTCATGGGTTTCAGGTGATCCGGGTTAAGGGAGGAAACCCTCCCGCCTGCTGGCACCTTCTCTACCCCGACACTCCTCCTGTGGTGCAGAGAGGACAGATACAGTGTCCCTTGCGTCTACACATTTCACCAGACTGTAGACTGTTTCCTTATTTTCTGTTTTCATTTATTTCCACCTTGTACACTGCAGGTTTGATTTTGTTGTACTTTTTTTGTCTCAGCTTGTGTACTTCAGTTAGTGACTTCTTGGTTTTCCCAGAATGCCTTGAGACGACCCCAAGTGCTGTGACAGAATGTGAGCACATGCATGTACTTATAGTTTGCTAGCCAGGTAGTTAGTGAAATGTTAGCATGTATGCGAATGCAGCCCTAACATTCATTGCACTGAGAGTTCACTCTATGTAAAAACATTTTGCACAGTTTTTTTTCATTAAATTATATTTCCTCTTAACATTTCAAAACCTTTTGCAACAGACTTTGAGACACAGTTGCTCCTGTTACCACGGTAAAATCTCAATAGAGTAATGACATATACAGTGCAGTTTGTCCAGACAGTCATCAACACACAATAGGGTGCATGTTGCTTCATTAAATGTTACTTATATTTCTGTTTTTAATGCACAAAGAACACACTGGAATACACTCATTCATCTGCCACTAGAAGCAACTACTGGCTACACTTTGAAATGGCACATTTAATGGGGGAATCTACCAAAACAGCCTAGTTAAAACTGTATGTGCCAGGAAATTAGAGTGAGTATTAATACATGAGTGATACATTGGGAATTACAAAAAGAGGAAAAGAGTGTGTGCATGAATGATTGTGCTAGCATATACATGTACTTAGTCATGCATAAAGGAGAAGCAGCTTTTACCAACATACCTGTCAGCGATGGGCTCTCTGCGTAGCTCCTCTGCGTAGGTCCTCTGAGCTCTGGGATCATGGTTCTGTTGTCCCGGTCCAACCTGGACTTCAGGTTTGACTGGCACAAACCTCTCTGGTTCCTCAGCTGCACCTCTCACAGAGCCGACAGGAGCCGACACATCTGATATACAAGGAAGAGGCAAAGTTAATAAAAGGCTACAGAAGTTAAAAACTGAATTCATGTGGATGATGTTACTGCACTACAACTGTATTTCTGGTATATATTTTTAGACTATTTCCACATTTATTACTTTTATCAATTCTTCAGCTGGGTTTAGATTTTTGTAAACATCTGAGTGATGCCTGCCAGATATTTTTAGCATTAACATGCAGCTGCACCCTCTCAAGAAGAGTTCTGCTGAATGAATTATTCCTTATTTCTGCTCCATACATGCATCATTCAAAAGGGCATGCTGTGAAATATTTCAAGTAACAGGGGCAACCGTACACAGAAAGTAACAGTCCTTAACTAACATGACACCTGCAACATCAGGACATACAAAGATTTGTTATTCCTCCTGTCATACAAAAACTCTATTGCTCAACTACGTGCTACAACACAGGAGACCTAAAACCAAAGCAAAATATTATTTCAAGGTATTTAATTTTGTGGCAAGCATTAAAATTGGCAGCTACTGGTTCTGACCTGTTTTCAGTGCAAAGTAAAAAAAACAACGGCATTTTCTGTTCAGTCCCTGACTTACGTAACCATGACTCTACCTGGCTTGTCGGCTGAAGCACTTTCTGAGTCAGCTGATCTCCCAGAAGTCCCAGCTGCTGGTTCAGCGGTGCTGGTTGTGGTCCCTGGGGTGATCAGTGTGCTCAGTGTCCCTACGTCACTCACACAGAACTAACACACACACACACACACACACACACACACACACACACACACACACACACACACACACACACACACACACACACACACACACACACACACACACACACACACACACACCAATGGATGTTTTACACTTCATTTATCTGCAATGTTGCCTGTTGTTTCCACGTCCCTCGAGTTTAGTGAGATATTATTCTAGTTAGTACAACCTCTTTTTAATGTGAGAAAACGTGCATCACATTTTGTTTATCGAGTAGTTTGGCTTTGTCGCCCAGTGGAGTGAGTTTCAGTAGTTTCTGATCCAAATGTTACATTTTAACTCCATTCATGTACCAGAAATGTACAGCAGAAAAACTTTAAAGGGAAGTTTATATAACAGGTCTTGAGTGCTTTTAATGTGAGTTAAATATTGTGTGACTAGAATCCAATCACCCAACATAAATATGCATGTAAATGCATGGTATAAGGGCATCCAGTGAATTCTCTGGGAATGGATTATCACACCGTTATATGACAGCCATTTGAGACAGACGAGAAAAAAATGTCCATGCCTACATTTAAATCCAAGATGTCTTGGGTATTGCATTGTTTCCACTTGCTAGTTGGTACGTACTTACTTAATATTACCGAAATGTCTTACTTACTGCTAGCTCCAAGGGTAAATTCTTGTAAATGCATCAATCACGTCCTAAAATGTCCGTATACTGAATATCTCTCCAAAGTCTTGACGTCACCTTAATGGTTGCAACTCATCATAATTTTCATTATGTTTTATTTATAGATTGTTTATTTAATCAGTTAATTGTTTATTATATTGAATACAATTTATCATTCCTTGATACAAGTGATGATGTTGATCTTCTCTGACCAACAGTCAAAAAAACAAAAACATTCAATTTAACAAAATATGAAACAGGAAAGAAATCTGCCAAAGCTTCCCATTTGATATTAATATTCAGTATTGTTACTTGATCAGTGACTTTCTGTATTTATCGATTATTACAGATTTGTTTTCTGTTCCCCTAATCACTTGCTCCCCTAATCATATCAGCACTAACCAATTGATGTAGTATGTATATCAGTGGGGAATCTGTGATATCATGAATGTTTGTCTGTTTCCTGACATGTGACTGATGTGCACCTCGTTCAGTGTTATTTTACTGCAGTTGATCTTGTGAACTGAGGTTTTCATTGGTGTGAGTGAGTCACTGTAATTGCTGTGGGAATAAGATTAATGAGACAAGTGAGCCACCACGGCAATCCATAAAGCTACTGTAGGGGAAAAACAAGCAAGTGAAAAATTGCTTGAAATCCTCTCTAAAGAAGGTGCTGTGAAGGAACTGTAGCTTGTTGGGCTGCTACACCTGGAAGAGCAAAATATTGTATACTTTGTATACGACACATGCTGAAGCCAGATATGCCAGTTTACCTTGAGGTTGCTGCTGGGCAGGATGGCCATCCCCTCCTTCCACTCTAGGACGTGGACAATGCTACAAGCTCCGCCCACCTGTGCTGTCAGGGTGGGTGTGACCGTCTCATTAGCCCGGCCTCCTTTACCTGGGTCTCCCATGGCAACAGCGGGCGTCACCTCTATCTTCTGATGGCTGGAAGCAGGAGCTGCGGAGAGAGATGCATTCAAATTTAGTAACTTTCTGACAGACAAAACAGCACAATTCGACAAGCACATCCTGTTTTATTTTATTGTATCATTTGGTTCACTTTGTGTAACGCACTATAAACTCACAAGCTGTTTGACATATTCCAATCTGGTTTCCGTAAAAAGCATTCCACAGAAACTGCATATTTCTAGTGACATTCTGAGGTCAGCTGACTCTAAGGAATACACAGTTTCGGTTCTCTTGGACCTTTCATCCGCTTTTGATACTGTTGATCATAATATTGTGATAAATAGACTCCATGATCTGGTTGGGATGTCTGGATCAGTTTTAAAATGGTTCTCATGCTACCTTTTTGGTAGAAGTTTTAATGTAAATCAGATCATGTCTGAAACTGCAGGGTTGTCGTGTGGAGTCCATCAGGGTTCTGTCTTGGGACCCATCCTGTTCCTTTTGTATACATTTCCTCTTGGACAGATAATTAGTCAATTTAGTGACATATCTTACCATCTGTATGCGGATGACATTCAACTGTACTGCTCGTTTAAGGAAACTGAGTTCAATAAATTGTCTTCTTTAATTAACTGCTTGACCAGTATCAAACAGTGGTTATGGGACAACATCCTGCTTCTGAACTCAAAGAAAACAGGGACACTAATTATTGCCCCTGAAAGTAGAATCCCCAGATTAAACATCATATTGGTGACTTAGGCTCGTCTGTCCAGCCGAGCCTCAGGAGCTTAGGTGTTGTTTTTGATTCAGCAATATGCTTAGAATACCACACCAAACAATTAGTCAGAAACTGTTGAACACTGACGTCAAAGGGTGAGTTGGAGATGATCATTCATGCTTTTATTTCCTCTCTTTTTACATGTTTGAGCAAGAAGGAGCTTTACCGTCTCCAGGCTGTTCAGAACTCTGCTGCAAAACTTTTAATTCACATTAACAAAAGAGCAAACATCACACCTGTTTTAGCAGCACTTCACTGGTTACCAGTCCAGTATAGAATTCAATTTAAAATCTTGGTTCTTACTTTTAGAGCCCTGCACGGTCAAGTTCCTCCCTACATATCTGAGTTGACACAGCTTCATACTCTCATCATTTCAAGCAGTGGCACCTTGGCTGTGCATTGCCTCCCTTTCTACGTTGTCTTAATTCTGACGATTCTTTTAAAAAGCAACTAAAGATGCTGCTATTCAAGCCGGCTTTTAGTAAGATGAGGGGTTTTTATGTTTTTTGTTCTATGTTTTCCATATGAATTTAAATTTTCTCATGCATCGTATTGTATGTCTTATGTTGTATTGTTTTACATTTTATTGTGAAAGGTGCTATACAAATAAACTTTACCACTGAAATAAACTTCACTTACTTAAAGAGAAGCAAATTTACTTTGTTGTACAAAAAAAGGAGTTACACTATGTTAACATGTTAAGGCTGAGCCCTTTGCTGCATGCCATCTCCTCTCTCTCTCCCACATTTCAACTGTCCTATCAAAAAAATAAAGGCAAAAAGCCCCCAAAAAACAACCTGTGTTACTGGAGACCAGTGTTTCATCAGCACCACTGCACCCAATAATGTAAAAGAGTACTCTACCAATTTAGCATTGCACTCCTGTAACATTGTCGGACTCACAGTGGACAGATTAACAAAGGACTATTAATTAATCTGCTGATAATTTTTTCAATTAATCATTTGCTAATCACAACTATATGCAGAGAGATGTCAAAAGTGAAACTATAATTTTTGCAGATTAATTTTCTGTTTATCGACTAATCAATTACTGGCTCATCACAGCTCTAGTGACAAGACATTTTACTGATGTCATGCAGTGACTTAAATAACCTTTAATAAGTTGGTAACTACCAGCTATTTGCCCGTATTTCCAGGAAAAACGCCTAAAATAACATAACCACAATGAATCAGTAATAACTCCTCAACCATTAGGCCTAGATGCATAATTGTTTAAAAGGTCAGAAGCTAAGGAATATAAATCAACTGCAATTAACCTATTTATATTTCTATTAAAGAGTAAACTGAGGTGCAATAAAGGAAAATATGAAATGTTCATCCTCGCCTGCTATAAAATCGATATTTTAACAGCAATATCACCATCAAAACCATCATCCAGCTCATTATAATGCAACTGAATATCTTCTAATACACCTGGCTGGAATACAACTGTAACTGTAAATTTGATGAAAACAATTTAAAAAAACAAATAACAGGTGAATGTCCATGTTTTGGCCATATTGACTGTTTATATGTTCACTTTTATTGGGAGTTTTCTTCAAATCACTATTTCTCTCCATACAACCACGTTCCAAATAATATAAAGCTTCTAAAACATTGAAATATAGATAAAAAAAAGTGAATATTGATCAACATTCCTATGACCAAAAGCACTCCCATGCTTTACAGGTAGCGGTTGTAACTGTATATGTATATTGGTGCGTTTGTTGTTATTGTTATCCAGCTAATAACTCTTTAGAGTGGTCGGACTGCTGTGAAAGATGATATGAGATATATCAAGAAGGCAATAACTGCAGCCAGTGTTCACAGAGAGATTTATGTTGTGATATAAGTTCATTTAGATGCTTGGTGTTTGATGTGTATTTGATATGGATAAAAATGGTTGGTTTGAGATGCTAGCTGAACCTCCTAGCTTCCCGGAGGTGTGTGGCATGCATAGGGCGACAAAATACTAGGATCAGACATTGATTTCTCATTTGCAATTTGCGTAAAAATGTATCAGATCCTGCAATAAATATCCTGACTTTGTTAATCAGTTGGTCTGTCATAAACCCACACCTGTGTTTCTAGTTGTCCTGAAATTTAAACTCCAGGAGTTGACTTACATATCTTTAAGGATCCTTGGTTTAAGATATAATCCCAGTGAATGAACTTAAACATAGTAGGTGTGACTTTTGAGGAAGGAAAATAGTTTAGATGAGTTTATACTGATATTTTGGACCACAGGTTTTTAAAAATGAGAGGCGGGCCTCAGGGGGGATCCAAATTGTTTCAGGGGAGCTTAGTTAATGGAAGTGAAAAATTACATTAGCTAACAAATAGAGATCACACAGAATAGCCTAAATGTGTGTGATTTGGTTAATGTGATAGTTTCCACTTTCCCAGAGTCAGAAACTAATAAATGCCGTAGGACAGACGTTTTTTATGTATTTGCTGTGGTCTGACATGTCAAACTAGAAATATGAGGTATCTTGGCTCAATTGTTGAGTGTCTATGGGATCAAAGAACATGATCCAGATCCTATAGGTATACAGAAATCTAGCAAAACTAAGCAAGTAACCTAAATTAAGTGGATGTGAGGGGACGCCCATAGTTCCAGACTTTGAAAAACCCTGTTTTAGACGAATTAGTTAGTGTTTGCAAATAATGTTGTTCGCTTAAAGGTTTTTATGATCATTTTTTTGCCTTTATTGGACAGTCAGAAACAATAACACTTGTGCTCTCTTGATCCTCAGTAAAAGAAGGTCAGAGGTCAGGACCGGTGCCTTTGATGGGGTAGCCTATATATTTGTTGATGGGGTATATACTTGTTGAGACAGTTGTAGCCTACTCCCATCCCCAGGTTAAAGGACGGTCTCTCTAAACTCATGTTGTTAAACACTGCCACGCTCAGACCTGTGCTCACCTGGCAGGAGGAAAGCTGTGGTGGTGTGAGGCTGGGGCCGAGCCTTCTTGGCCACTCCATCATTACCACAGATGAGGACAGCCTCACTGGGAGAGGAGGAGGACGGGTCCAAATGGGTGCGATCAGGTTCTTTAGGTGGAGCCTCCATGTTCACTTTGGCACTCATAATTGTATCCCTGTCCCTCAGTCCGGAGCACTGGAAAGCAAAGAGTATGATGAACAGTACAAAGCAAAGCTCTCTGGTTCAAAGGACTAGGTCCAATCTAAAATTGTTAAAAAAAATTTTAACAGGTAGCGGTTGTAGCAAACCATTTTGGTTTGAGTTTGGTGTTTATACAATGCATCCATAAGATGGGAAAATACAACATTTTACATACAGCCAATACATGAAATGCTGCTGGACCTAAGCCCACTTTGGTGCTATAGCCAGTTCTGAACACATAATATAAGCATCATATTAACATTATATGAGCATAGAATATTTGTTCTCTCCATATATATTTTCTGCTTCCATTTTTTCCTAAAATTGCTCTGAGACATATTGATTTAACAAATGTAAAACTACAGAAGGAAGACTTTTGTTGAGTAGGCTATTTCCAAAAACTTTAAAAAAAAAAAAAAAAGAAAAAGAAAAAGATAACTTTTAAGAGTACCATTTTACTGAATAATGGCTGCGATGCCTTCCTCCATCAACAGCCATGACCCCGTGTGACTTTTTAGCAGCCACCCATTACCTCCAATAAAAAGAGGCAATAATCATAGACCAATATTTAGGCAAAAGGCTCCACATCCATATTTCAGTTAAAATGGCGGAGGATCTGAAATCCTTGAGGCAAGAAATGTGTAAAAGCAGGGTCTCAAATCGTGAAAATCACATTTACTAAAAAATGAACCTTGTCACCCATTCCGGCAGCACCTCAAATGAATGAGCAACATTTTCACTCCACAACAACGTTAAGCATGCGAGATATTTTAGCAACCTAACCCCGGCGCGGCTGCTTCTATTATTTAAATGCATTTAACTCGATTAGGTTAATTAAACGCGTGCCATTATAGTAGCCTATATATTGTTTTAACACGAAAAGCTTTGTGGGTGATACTAGCCGTAGCGGTAAAAAGCTTCTATTATATCCAGGGAAAAAAACACTAGTCCCATTAAAACCTGTGCGGTTAAAAGACGTTCGTGTGAAAATGTGAAATAAATTCGTGTTGCAGATCAATTCGGTACTGAAATTTGGCTTACCAGCTCTGATCTCCTGCGGCTCCGGATCTCCGACTGCGCATGCGCGGGACCCCAGTACTCACTGCTCTTGGGCTAAAATGCATCGCAAAAAGACTTGAGTGCAATCGCTCCACTTTCAGCGAAAATAATGTAGTGGACGATCGATTAGTCTGAAAGTCGTTCAATCACGGCTGCTAGGTTGCCTTTACTCCACATTTAAATAAGCGGCTTCTGCTTACATTTATAACATTTATGTTAAATTACATTATATAATTAGAAAGATATAGGTCATGTCGATACTGCAGTCAGTTTTTGTAATCGTGACACAAAGCAACACCACACATCATGTTCTCTTTCATTAAGATCTTTAATTGAACATACAATTTAAAAAAAAAAACAAAAAAACCCAAAGAGACTTCTGTTAGATGTCATTCATATGGGGGAAATAACATGTTCCAAAAAATGAAGAGGGGGTGCCTTCAGTAAGTCTGACGGTTGTGTTAAACCACAAGCAATCCCTCAAAAGATTGGAATAGATTTACCCTTCAAATACAAATCTCCAGTATTAGCTGCACACAATAAGCAAACCGTAACCCCTGGATTAAATTTGTAAAGGGGAAAAAAAAAAGAAAGAAAGAAATACAAATTGAAAATGACTTCTGAGGGCTGCAATCAGAACAAAGCAGGAAATGAGAGAACGTGACACTGCTTTTGTGCCCTTGGAGCTCTAGCCAAACTGAAATCCATAAAGTAACAAAGAGCCTTCCACAGATTACCTGCTCAAGGTTACAAAACACCAACATTGGTAGCAACCCAGAGGAATAAATCCATTTTAGATGATCACATGGTCTATATACAAGTTAAAAAGTTAGTTGTTAATCATGAAATACAAACCCCTCAATTTCTTGTAAATATGCAGTTCAGGTTCTTGCATCCCAGTTGTGCATTTTAGAGTGCTGCCAAGACAACACCAAAATAGGCCGATTCCTTAAGCAATTCTTGAGACTGCAGTTCAAACAGGAAAACCGCTTCAATGCCGTTTCCAAATGCTACTTTTCACCCACATCCGTGCAGTTTGAATGAGTTTGAGTCCAAACGGTTATAACAAACAACACCTGATGATGCTCCAGACATTAGTGGACTGGGGACACTTAATCTACAAAAGATCTGTTGCAAGCTGAGATGCTGCATGATCGAAGTAACAAAAAGACAACTTAATATTCACTAAGCTATAAACAGCTTTTACTTGAAACAGACTGATGTGACAAACCTACAGTTTAACTAGTTTGACATTTTTGGGACAGGGTGGCCGATGCTAAGATTTTGTCCATTTGAAAATAATTTGGGAGAAAATGAATGACAGATTTTTGGGAGGCAAAATGATTCCAGAAAGTACCCCAGTCACTGTGACGCACCCTCTAATAGTACGGCATCTAAAAAAAAATAATACATGTTTAAGACAAGTGCACACTTGAAGGAGAAAAGTAGACAAGTCAGGAAGCATAAGACAGCATGTTGACACTGCTCATTATGTACAGCATAGGTATCAAGCTCAATGAGTAAACACATCCTTTTTCTAATTCCACTAATCCTGAGACGCTGATCTAGACCGTGAGCGGGACCTTGAACGGGAGGCTGAACGTTTCTCCCTTGACTTGGATCGGCTGCCATCTTCCTGTGGGGATGGTGAGCGTGAGGCAGATTTGGCGACACGCTCCTCCTTCCCGTTCTCCACTGGCGAAGCTGAACGACTGCGGGACTTCTTTTCACCAGACATCTCCTTGGATCTACTGCGAGAATCCCGCTCTGACTTTACCTTTGAACGACTCTTTGAACGGGACTTGGATTTCCGGTCGCCCGAACGGGATGGTGATTTGCGGGAGCGTGAACGAGATTTGGATTTGCGGGAGCGTGAACGGGACCTGCGGTTGCGAGAACGTGACTTGCTTTCTCCCGACTTGGAACGAGACTTCCTTCCAGATCTGGAGCGGGAATGATGGCGTCTCTTGTTGCTACGGGAACGAGACCTGTATGAAATAAGAGAAAGGCTTTACTTCCCGCTTTGTGCGCCACTTTAACAAAAAAGTTCATTCATCACTGCCACAGGACCTACTACGCAATACATAGCCTTACTTCTATGTTAGTGCTTTAACTCGAACTTAAATAGTGTTTTATTGTTCCATTTTTAAGATTAGTCGCATTCTCACCTGGAGCGTGATCTGGAGCGACTCCTGGAGCTCCTGCTTCTGTGGCTTCTGCGACTCCTGCTGCGGGAGCGGCGGCGACTGCGAGATCTAAGGATCATAGTACAAGAGTCAAAAACAGAACTTCTGCCAGTTCTTGGGAAAGAGATCAGTGTTACGAGTTTGTTAGCAAAGTTGAGTTAAAAGGAGGAGCTCATTGTGTATCTTTCATAAAACAGCAAGTCTGAAGCATCAAAGAACTTATTCAGTGCTCAAGTGGTCCCACCTGGAGCGGCTGCCAGAGTAAGACCTCCGTTTGCGAGGCCGGTCCTCCACTAGACGAATCTTCCGTCCGTTGATATCCGTGCCGTCCAGCTTGTCCAGAGCCCTCTTCATGTCCGAGTGGCTCCGAAACTCGATCACTCCCTCATTTGTGCGTTCCTTGTGGGCATCCGCATAAGTCACCTCTCCTGCCTGCCGCATGAAGTCCTGGGAGAAACAGAAGATGATGAGAAAAACAGTGAAATTTGAACAGTGTAAATCCCACGATGAGTCATGAAAGTGAACTGAAACGAGGAGAAACGGAGGTTTGCGTTCGAGCGTGTACCTTTAGGTCCTGCCAACTGCAGCGGCTGGACAAGTTCTCCACGATGAGGCGGTACTCAGTACGGACTGGAGGTCCATACTTATCCCTGCCAGAGCGGCTCCGGCTGCTGTAACCGCTACCTTTAAAAACAACAGCACATGAAGAAAGTTAGAAACCACCTAAAATGGCCAAGACACAAAGAACTACAGGTCTGGGTTATCAAATGAACACAAGGCAGTGACTTGCCAGATAAAAGTCCAAGGGGCTATAAATTTGAACTTAATAATGAAAGGAATCCCTCTGATCCCCTTTTCAAACACAAAGCTTCAGACAAGTGATCTACAAGCCACTGCATGGGTTCTTTGTATTGTTTGTATTGTTCAGCATTCTGAAGTTGTTCTCTGCTGCAAAGAACACCACTGCATCTGTTTCCGGCAATACAAAGCCTGTCTTACTCCAGTACATCACACTGTGATGCTTTAGCTGCATAAACAAATGGACAGTGATGTTCTTTCAAGACCTCTGAACCCTGTAACACAAACAGAAAGGAGGTATCCATATAGGTTGCGGTCAAGGACACTGTTCGATCAAATTAAGTAAGAAGGGTGTAAAGAAACATACACCAGTCTTTTGGTATTTGGCCGGATGTCAGTGAAATTTTGTTTTCCAGTTTTCTGACTTACAACATTTCTTTTGACTGCAAGTTCTTTACTAGAGCCGATCCACTTATGTTTTCTGTCAACATAGAAACCAATGGCAATCCTCACCATCGCCCCTGGTCTATTGGCAAAAGGCTGCTGTCATCATGGCTTCCGGTTAGGTCAGCCAAGGATCAAGGGGGGCAAAGGTCACACACACATTGTAAGGTGAAAGCCAAGGCCAAACGGGACAGGCAGTCATCTTAGCCAGTCATCTTTAGCCTCAATGGACTCTCAGCCTCAGCCCGCAACTGGACTCTTTCAAATTGAAACATCAAGGACTTTTGTTAATGTTGAATATAAAAATATATACCAACGTTAAAAATACACATTACACATGAAAATGTTAGTCTAGTCCTAATGATTAAGCTAAAACTACCCTAGATAGATTTGTGGTGATCTATGATTAGCTTTCCTCTGTGGTGCAAACTAATTTGAAAATGCACACCTTCAAAACATGGCTCGCCAAAATAATTATGATCCAAGAGAACTTTGCAACCCGTGATAAGCCCTACTTTCAAGCTCTCTTGTGTAATGCCAACTTTACAGACTACACTTAGTTCTGCTATTTGAGGGCTCTGACTTGCAGATTGTTGTTCCTTTCCGATAATGAACCACAGACCAATCAAGGGTGGCCTATGATCACTAGGGAGGAGCGACAACCAACAGGTCACCAACCCTTGAGGGTTGAAACTGAGAACAACTGTTCAGCAGGATGAGATCGAACACACACACACACACACACAAAAAGAAACAAATGTTACAATGGATTCCCTGAACAAGAATGTCAATCAGTCTTGGTTTCAAAGGAACTTCTCCATGTGGGCAATGCTACTACACAATGTAATAAATACGGATAATCTAAAAGTATTGTACTTCTACTTGTTACTAATATTACAGCAACTATTAAAGTTGCATGCAACCTGAGCCATGGTAAACGTGTAGCCACGTAACACATTAACATGGGATTCCGGTTATAACCGTGACAGTGTACCTGGAAATCAAACTTATGCTACAAATGTGTTAATTAGCGCCAGTATTAAACAACAAAATAGCTTTTTGTGCAGTCCACATCGACACCTCACCCCAAGGGGAAGGGGAAGAGAGGGTATCTTGTAATAGACTGCACTTACTGCGCCCACCACCCCAGTAACCCCCACCGTAGCCATCTCGGTCGCGCCGCGGCCCCCGGGCATGTTCGACGATCACCCGCTCCCCGCACAGCTCCTTCCCGTTCAGCTCGTACACAGCATCGTCCGCGTCCCGGTTATCCTCGAACTCCACGAATCCATAGCTGTGTGAGAAAGAAGGCGTTAAAATACAAAGCAATTCAGTAACAAAAACAGGCTAACTCGCATGCAAATAAAACACAGCACGATGTGTTGATTCACACGAAACTACTGTTAACCAGCTGGTTATCGTTAGCTCGGTCCGCTAGCTCCGCACTGTAACGTTAGCTAACACAAAGACGCCATGTTGGCCATGAGACATTTGCCACACGAGAGGGAGGAGAAGTTGGGGAAACAAACAAAAAGGCTAAAAGTTGTAACGTTAGTATTCAAATAAAACAAACTCACTGTTAAGTTTACAAGCTAACTTTACTGCAGCGATAAAATATTCTTGCCTGAAAGCGTCAAATGTTCCTGTGCCAGCGCTTACGTCGTTAACATGAACGGCCAACGTTAATGCTAACGTTAGCTAGGAAATATTAAGTAACCCGCGTTTGCACTTCCACCAAAAACTCACCCGTTTTTCAAATCGATTTCCATGAGTTTCCCATATCCGCTGAAAAATCGCTGAATGTCTTTTTCGCGGACATGATAACTCAATCGTCCAATATAAACACGAGGCATAGTTCTTGGCCTGACGTTGTTCTCGACTGTTCTTCTCGACGGGTGGTTCCAAGTTGGACGCTACCACTAGAATCAGGGCTGCTAGCAAGCGATGATTACAGCCGAACAAGCCAATTACCGCGAAGCTAACGGTGGGACATTTCCGGCAAGTTTTTGTACTTCAAATTAAAGGCTCCGTTTATTAATTTAATTACATACTAATTTATTTAAACAAGTCCTCTATCCCCTACAGTATATACAGTACATATTAGGTATATACAGCATATACATATTAGGTATATACAGTATATACATATAAGGTATATACAGTAAAAAAGGGTTGCTGATAAAATGTTGGCCACTAATCACTGAGATGGATGTGTACGCCCCAAAGCAGTACAACATTGTCAAGTAGAACCGTCAGATAAAGATTACTGTTTTATTTATTTATTTTATTTTTAATATATTTTTTTAACACACACACACACACACACACACACACACAAGCTTACTGTTTTGTTCATTATTTAAATATTTTTTTAACACACACACATACACTTACTGTTTTATTTATTTAATTTATTTTAAATTTTAATAGTTCTTCATTTTTTTTTAACACAAACACACATGCGCTTTGATTACTTTACGCTTTAATTACTTGTTTAATGAAATGTACGGGGTTGATTGTTCTTATGTTGTATGTATGATGCTTTGACAATGTTGTTGTTACACATTCATGCCAATAAAGCTAATTTGAATTGAATTGAATTGAATTAAAGACTCAAATGTCAGTGTTGAAAAAAAAATGTAAAATCAGTTATTAGTACAGTGACTATGTAACGTTACTTTGCCATCAGCCTCTACAATATATAGCTTGGACTTAAAATATTTATGAATTTTAACTGGCCTGCTACAGTCTAATTTGTTCCGCCATAGTTTCAAAATGATTCTTTTGAGGTAACTAAGGTAACGTTAACTGTTTCTGTCAGTCGCTACTGAAAAGGCGATTAAGCAAGTCGCACCAAAATTTGGAGCGCACACGTATTCATACCTTTATGGTAAATCCACTGAAACGGATTAACAAGTACCTCTAATGTCAAAGCATTTTAAACACATACATAACAATACATACATACCTAACCAAATATATATAAAATAAATTCATGAGAAAAATAAATAAATAAAACATAAAATAACACAAGAGGTCTAATCAGTTATCAAAATGTGTATAATTCTGAAAACATCCAAGGCTTGTCTTGTTTTTATATATTTCAAAGCTTTCTTATAAAGAATTAACTCCTTAAAAACCAAAAACAGAGGTCTTACATTCATAAAAGTTGACAGGCAGGTTAGCGATTGTATCCTGTCATTTTCTCTCTTTACAAAGACAAGTGTTGCAGTATGAGAGTCTGACCTGAAGAGAGGCTGTTAAGTCTTCATGTTACGCGATAGGAGAACCACGTACAACATTATTTATCAAACTGGGTCGGGCTTAATTCATTTAGCGCAAGGATACACATGTGACAACGTCCGGTTTTCAAAATAAGGTGTCTATACAGTATGGAAATAAGATTAATTGAATTATATTCACAGAAAGTATAAAACATACTACGTGTCCATTAAAATAAAAGAAAAACAACAATAAAATATTAGGGAAATTACTTATTCTATTTTCTATTCTTTGATTTATGGTTGCTGGAAACATTAAATAAATTTGTTGACTTTTGTTGCTGTTTCATCACCATTTATAGCTATACAATGGGTTTATGATCAAATAGTTTACTAGAGCACAACATTGTTTACAAGAGTGCAAATTTCCTCATAGATAGCCTTTTAATTTGGCACCAAATTAATGCATTTAACTTTAAAATGTGTTCCGGGGGACGATGAGGGTCTGAGGCCCACCCACCCATTGTCAACCGCTTATCCTGCGTACAAGGTCACGGGGGGGACTGGAGCCAATCCCAGTTTACATCGGGTGAAAGGCGGGGTACACACTGGACAGGTCACCAGTCCATCGCATGGGCCCACCCATCAGTCTCTTTAAATCCTGTGGAAAACACTGTGTTCCTAATAATACAGTTGTTATATAAATACATTATTTGAAAGTAACACTTTTTGGCCTTCAGAAGTAGCAGCAACATGGTTCTGTTGTTCAGATTTGGGCACTGAAAATGCAAATGTAACGTGTAAAATGTAAACTATAAATAGCTGTCAAGTGAAAAAAATCATTGACCTCAAACAGCAAACTGTCTCAATTCACTATGGTTAAATTTACATAGCAATTAATTTTTAATATTGACTGTTCCACAAATTATGAGGCTTATACATGTACAAGTTGTGCTAATGCCAGGGATTCACCAATATGTTTTCTGTACAAAAATTGTGGCAACATGGATGTACACAGAGCAGTAATGGAGAGAGTAGAATATTTTATTTTTGTAAAAACCAGGTTTTAAAATGATTCCAGCCAGACCTTCTTATTCACATTATTCCCAAACAACAGAACAAGTATCACTTAGCCAGTATCATTGGACTGAAACTAATGTCCTAGCTAGCTTGTGGCGTACAAGTCTTGAATCACACTTGAAAATAAAGACCTGTTACAGGAGACTGATCTGAGGTACCGGCTGAGAAGCTGTTTTTAGGGGGAAGCAAATGGGTATTTGTGTTAGGGGACTAGCATTGGCTCAAGAAACCTGCTCCTTTGAACAAAATTTATTTTATTAATTTTCACATCCTTCTAATCAAATTGTTGATCTTAACTTCAGAAGTCAAATCAAGAAATTATGATGTACACAATTGCTTATCAATGCCACAAAAGCACTCAAAACACACTGTATAATTTCTGTCTCACACACAGTCTCTATTAAAGTTTTATTGAGATGGTACTCTCCGCTTTATCAACCCGTTTGTTTGACTTTACAGTCATCTCCCGCTATAAAATGATCAAAAGAAGCCTGTGCTAGGAGCCTGTCACAGACCAGTTACAGTGACAAATCGCCCTGTTTGTACTCCAGCCTGGTGACTTCGGTTTATCTTTGATAAACTAGGGCAGGAAACTCTGAACTGGCAGTTTTGTGATTTGAGGCCAGACCAGAAACAGGAACATAGCCTTTAGTTTAAGCAATGTGTAATCAAAGAATGAACAGGTGACCACATGGGATACAATTACTAGAGCAACTAAGCTCTGTCATTGTAGATGAACTTAGCTTAACTACAATTTGGCTTGTTATGGAGAAATGGATCCCTTAGCAGAGGAAATCTTAAATGTCTGGTGTATGTAGAGTGGGAGAAGAAAGAATGAAGAAGGATTCAAGCCATATTAAATCAGGGTTTTCTTGCAGTAATCAAGAATCACAGCAAATGGAAAAAAAAAAAAAAACCTAGGAGGTGGAGGGTTCATCAGCCAGACAACAAATCAAATGCTTCCAACAGTGTGTATAGTACACATCATCTGCTTAGTGCCTGAACCCCATCTGTCAGCTTTCGATACTCTCTCACTCCCTGCCTGGTCAGGCCACGACAACTAAACAACAGCCAAACCCTCCCGCAGTTCGATTCAGAGAGTCCTTTTAGCGAATCAAGGGGGCATCCAACCCCAGCTTCGGCCCTTCTGAGGGGAAAGGAGAGGCAGAGAGGAGGTGGAGCCCAGTGTCGGTGGTCTTTAGTTGGCTTTGGCGCGGAGCTGCGCCCTCTTGCCTGTCACAGCCTGGAAGCCGGTCTTGATGCTGGCGACGGAGCAGCGGGAGTGGCACGTTTCACACTGCAGGAAATAGAGACGAGTGTCCTTCTGCAGGATGGTCTCTGGAGAGCGGCAGGTGTGACACGTCACGTATTCCTCTGCAGGGGTGAGAAGAGGGTTATTAGCACTGGAGTACACACAGGAGTTCACTGTATATTATTTTATGTTTCCGCTGAAAAAAAAAAGTTGATAAAAACAGTACTCTGATTTAGCACTGCACTCCTACAACATTGTCAGACTAATGATGAACAGTTAAAAATCCAATCAGCAGAACCAGAGAAATGGCCACCGACAGTTTCTTTGGAGATTCAGGTATGTTATGCTAGCCTCAAACCGAGATAAGCAGCTGGCTACAGAGGTGTGACCAGTCATTCATTTTCAACCGACAAACTTCACACAGCTCCCTCTGCAGCCTCACAAGGCTTTATGCAACTTTTTTCCACATACACAGAAGTTTGAAAGCAGCTGCTCAATTCAGATTGCTACATCAACCCTGGAGGGAAATTGCAGTGTTGCAGTAGCAGCGGGTTACATAAAAATCTGTTACAAAACAAACAAAAATACATTTAATAATACCCGATACCTGTTCTGGATGCAAGTGTTCTCTCTTTGTAAACACAATAAACCCTTCTTGTATTAAATTCTTCATAGACCACAGCTGAATACAGACATTGAGTGAGTATGGTGGGACTGCTCATGCACAAAACCAACACATTCATTTGGAAAGAGTCTAATCAGATTTGTGTTTACTATAAATAATAGGTTTAAATGATGTACTTACTGATATATCTTCTCAACACATTTTCTATCTGTTTCTGTTGAAATCTGCCTTTGATCACAAGCTGGTTATTTCCGTCTATGGAGCCACTGTTAACAGAAAAAAAAAGCAAAAACATAATTCAAACTCTCATAAGAGTGCACACAGAAATGTTTCTTTTTATTTGAGAACTAGTGTTTAAAACTGAAAATGTTCCAATGAATACATTTAGGAAAAAGAAAAGCTTACCTGGTACCCAGCTCAGCCAAGAGGAAAGCGAGGAGATGTTTAGGCTGACGATGCAACCTGTGACAAAGTACATGAAAGATCAATTTGTAGATTAGGGCTGCACCTAACAATTGTTTTTAAAAAAAAACTACTATTTTTTCCAAAATAAATATATATAAAAAAAAATGAATCAAATACCAGATCAGAAAAATACTGGACCTCAGATTCACACACAGATTAATTTAAAACACAGTCTGTCAACCTTTCGCACGTTGTTCTCTGGGGGAATCCTGCTTAGACCAGACGTAGCACTTTATTATGATGTGCCAACCGCGTCATGCAAATCGTCAATGAGTTGCCTTGGCCCTATTGTAGATTGTACTTTAAATATTTTGTATTGCCGTTTAATCCCTTACACAGCATTGATACAGAGCTAGAATCAGCTGAATTGGTTTCAGTCAAACTCTAGGTGAGTATCAAAGTGAACGGTGATCAACAGTGACAGTGTGAGAGGTCAGTGTGTATTAGGTGGGAGGCTCACAGTTTGCAGATGTCTGTGAAGTTAACGAAGGAGGTTTTCTTGGTTCCCACTCGGACCACCTGAGGAGGCTTCATCACGAACTTCCTCTTCTCTCCGGCCACCATGTCCGGGTTTTTTTCTCTCATGATGTTGAAGACTCGGTTCAGGAGCTGAGACAGAGATGGTGCAAAGATTTATGCCAACTGTAGTTAACACTGACCATGTTTACATTAGGATAGGATCATAAAAACAAACAAACATTGTTGACTTGACTGTATGTCCTGAGGTTTTCAATAGCGGGCAAATATCTGTATAAAAATGGACAGGGGAGCATGTCAGTGTTCCAGGAATATAAAAACCATGTCAATGGGACATTCAAAGCATTTGCAATGTAAAAAAATATATTGATGGTGCAACATAAAAAAAGTTCATATTGATGGATTTTGTAACTGCTTTTGTGTTACTTCTATGTTGTAGATTATCATGCTTTCACTGTTGGAAAAAACGTTTCCATCATTTGGGGACTTTGGTGGATGTAGTATAAGTATAATGTTGTCATGAAGTCAGGGAGTTAGCGGTGGGCTACAATTTGGCACCATTAAAAAAAAAAGCATGTTAAGTATTAGCAGTTCCTTTTTGCAATGTACAGATGAATGTACAGACAACTATCCCTTGATTGAGGTTTAAGCAGTGGCGTTTTCTCCCAGAGGCCAAGGGAAGCCAGGCTTCCCCTGTTTATCAGACTATTTATCATTTTAATAAAAACACAATGTTTTTAGTTTCAATAAATCTTATAAGCTGTTGCTGTCATCTCTTCTCCATTTCTTACTATCTTACAATAATTGAAACAGCGCCCCACTGAATGCTATGCGTTGGATGTGTGGTGAAACACCATATTGCACCACCGTAGACTGGCCTGCAGTCTGACTACATGGGGAAGCGAGGCAGAGTTGGCACCCGTGTGGGGAAAAAATATAAAAATAAAGATTAACCAATCAGATGAGGGCACTGTCATGCCACTGCCTAACTGTGATTAGTCAGTATGATGCCAAGGGAAGCCAGCCGCTGTCTGGCTTCATGCCAATCAAGTCACAGCATGTGATAAACGTCATTCAGATGAAATAACGGGAGCTGTTAGCAACTTTAGCTGGTGCAGTTACAGAGGGTGGAGATTTGGAGTTTTTAGTTATAAATAGTTTTACTAAACTACCACTACAGCAGCAATTTAAGATTAAATCTGATGGAAGACCAACGCCAAAACTGGAGCTGCGAGTGGAGAGGGAAAAAGGAGTTTTGGACATTCAATGAGGAAAACTATATCGGTACCGAGTGCCTAGCTGGTCTTGACTCTCTTGTTGTGAAGGACCTAAATTTAGCTGCGAATGAATAGTCCGCTGAAGTAACCTTGTTGTTTTTACTGCAGTTGTGTACGCGTAGATAATGAGCACCACAGACAGAACCTGCCACAGGGCATTGGGCCAGCTTAGGTTACCTGACTAATTGTTTATACTCTGTTGGTCTGGTATTTGGCCGTTAGTCTTGAGTGATGTTGTGTTATGAACATTTGGCCAAGCATTAAGAAGTATACAAGCCTGTTTGTATACATGCACCATTGCTACTATGTAAATGTCTTCAATGATCTTCTGATTGAGTTTGTGAATGCTTCTTTTTTTCTTAACTGAAGCCTATTTGTACTGTGCACTATAAGCAGCGGGGTATGTATGCTATTTGGGGTGAGAGAGAGAGCGTACGTGTCGGTAAATGCAACTTTCAGTGTGTGAATTGATAACAGATAGTGCACACTTTTCAAATATGATTCAGTTTTGTGTAAAATTATACCCTGCACTGTAATAGCACAATACATTAGATAATTGCCCTCTAAAAAGGACATCCCCTCTCACTTGGCTTCCCCAAAAATTTACCCCACTGCATTTAAGATGTTGCCCACACTTCATCTGTAATAAAATAACTTAGCACGACAGAATAACTAAAAGAAAACATGGTAAGAATTGAAATACTTGCCTATTTTCCCCACTTGTGAATACACAAACAAATGGCCCTTCCTCAGGCAGAATGGGTTATCCATTTATGGCGTATGAGTCTTGGTTGTGTGAGAGTTAGTTTACAGCTGTCCTACCTCATCGTAAGTGTAGTCTCTTTCAGAGCCGGCCCAGGCTGGCCCCGTGGACGAGCTGAATGAGATTCCATCGTTGTTCTTCCCCTCATCGTCCTCCAGCGCTGCGAACACATCATACAAACCTGTTAGTAAACATGTGTCTTCCTTTAGTTCTCTAATGTGAAGATGTAGTGTCTTCTCACCATCATCCTTCTCCAGTATCTCTCCCTCATCAAAGTCCACTTTCTTTGACTTCTTCTTTTTGGTAGGAAGCATCAGGTCCAGGTTGTCCTCCTCCAGCACCTCTGTCTGCTCTCCTTCTATTTTCAGCTCCTGAATTGGACCAATGAGAAGTGAAATTCAGTCAATAGAAGATGAGCAAGGACAGTAAGACAAGTAACGGGAAAGAAATGGTAGAAGTGAAAGAAGAATTGCAGATCTAAAATGATCTGAAGGACGGGCAGAGGATGAAAGCAAACGGAAATCCACAGACTCTGTAGTGATGAGGAGTGGAAAGAAAAACTGACTGACCTTTAATCCTTCCTCAACAACATCATTATCAAATACTTTCTTGGGTTTCTTCTTCTTTTTCTTCTGGTTGAAAAAGTTTAGGTCGTTCAAATCATCGGATGGCTCTAGATAAGAGAAAACAAACCCTGCTTAATTCTAGCTTAACGCAGGCTGGCAGTTAAATGTACGTTGTTACATCCCTTAAAAAATATGCACTGACACTGGAGCTTAAGATGTGAGCTTTCAGTCAGAGCATCTCTATGTTCTCTTATAACCTTTCTTCCTGCCTTCATCTTCATCCAGATCCAGCTCCTTGTCATCTCCAGCCTCCGGTTCGGCCTCCTTTGCCTCCACCTCTTTGGCCTCTTCTCCTCCCACCCCCTCGCCTCCGTCCTCATCCAGCATGAAGGGCTTCTTCTTCTTCTTCTTCTTCTTGGTCATGTTGGGATCGAAAATCATCTGAAAGAGAGAGAAGCAAGTTTCACAACTGCTGACAAGATAATGAAATGAAGGCCAACATGGTTCAGATGTTCAAGTTTCTAACAGTTTTTCCCCAAGGGAAGACATCATTTGTGGATCAATAACCTGGCTGAACATCTGACAAAATTACAGCTCAGACAGCCACTTTCCTTTAGGCCATGGTCAACTGGCTTACATCAGATACCTGTGCAGTAAAGTCACAGTGTATTTTTTATCAAGCACAATTAGCTTCACCAATGAAAGTCAACCGGTAACATTAAATGAAACAAAAATGCTGTTGCTTTAGTTTTCTGCAGTTTAACACATTTTGTGCTCACTAAAAATCCATATACAGCGTTAATATATATATATATATATATATATATATATATATATACACATACATACATACACACACACACATATATACATATATACACACGCTGTGATACAAGAGTTGATAAGGTTTGGGATTTATGTAATATTGTCATACAACATTTTTTTTTCTGAAAAACGTCTGAGCTGTTGCAGCTTAATTACATAACTTACACTATAAACGCAGCTTCCTGGTTTGTCATCGTAACCCAGATGAGTCACGTGAAACTGTTTTCTTAAACATCAACGGACATTGCAAATTGAAAACACATCAAAATTGCAATTGCAAGTTAAATCGATTTAGATCCCGTTATACAGTTAAAATCTGATAGTGGTGACCAGCATAATTGTGACGGCTCTTTCTGTCAAGACTCAGTCCCAGTGTAAAACCAACTGTCCGTCTAGCTAACGTGAGAGTACCGGGAGGTAACGTTAGCGTTAAACCGTGGTAGCTTATTGTTTCTGGTGGAGAGCACGAGCCGTTAGCGCCGCAGCTCAGTTCACGGAAGCTAACGCTAGCTAACAAACTGAGAGACAAACTCCAGCCCTTCATTTTGAGTTACACAGCAGCTATGACAGGGCGAAACAATAAAACGCGGGGAGTATTATTCATTTGTATGATGTGATAAATCCTGATAAAGTGGTGTACTGGATATTTTCTTGTCATTTCGGCTGGGGGGCCGTTGTTAGCTCGGTTGCAGCCATGTGAGAGCTGGTGCGGACAGGGAGGGGAGCAGCAGTGCCGAGGCCCAAAGTCATCCTCAACGCCTATCAGACCCGATAATTCCGCATATTTACACCCAACAAGTCTACGCACTGACACAGACTCAACAGCGGATAACCCGAGATGCCTTACCTCGTCACCTGACATGTTTGCGGGCTGAAAAGTGACTGAAATCTGGCTACTTTTTATTCCTCGACCAGCCCCACACTGCTGCGCCGAAAATGTCTTGCATCAGCGATGAATCCACAGCACGCAGGCGTGAAGTCGCTAAATCCTGACGTCTTTACTTTGCGACGCGCATTCCAGTTGGGAAGTGTTCAAGAGAAAAGATGCACAAGTGAACCTGTTGTTAAATGTGTGCATTACGATTTAGTAGAGATACGAAGGATTTGTTCCATCACAGAAAACGGACATTTTATTTATATTTATTATTTACACACACATATATTATGTACAGTGTTGGTCAGTAAGTAGTTACATTGCAAAATAAATGTAACTGTAATCTGTTACAGTTGCTGGGGAAAATGTGTAATTAAATACAGTTAGGCCTATTTGTGAAAATGTTCAGGATCACATTACCTAGCCTACACTTGGATCTCACCTTCACCGCCACAGTGCGGCTGGACATCCCTTCTGCATCACAGAATTCTCAAACAACCCATTTACACCTGGTATTAAAATGTGATCTGTATCCGGAAAGTTATCCAGACATTAGAGAGTCATCATCATCATTCTTTTTATCCTCACTGAGACAGGATCTCTGTCCTCCAGAGCTAAACCTGCACATGAGCAATTTCCCCCTTACTGTTGTCTGCTACAGGTGCTACAATGGTCTACATCTTTGTTTCTTTGTGTTGATATGAATTGCAGCTACATTAATATTGTAAGCAATAAGTCGATGGACAGAAAATTAATTGGCAACTATTTTGATTTAAATTATTTATCATTTACGAGAGTTTTCAAGCTTAAATGGCACACATCTGACAGCTTTTCAAATCTGAGCATTTACTGCTTTTCTTTGTCTTCCTTTATAGTAAATTGAATATCTTTAAAATACAAATTGAAGATGTCACCAAGTGGTCTCGAAAAATGATGACGTTATAGCTGGAAAAATGATTAATTGATCAAGACCATGATCATCAGTTTAATGGATAATGAAAATATTTGTTAATTGCAGCCTTAATTCAAGCACCAGAACTGAATGTGCAGTTTATCAGCTTGAAAAGACATACAATGAAAATGTCTCTGGTTTAAACTATGCTAACCCGGGAACTGTAACAATCTTATAAGATCAAGAGTAAACATTTCTGCGAGCCTCAAGTCTAAAACGCTGTTGCACCCATTAGTTTCCCAGCATGGCTGTACAGCAGGTGTTAAACTCTGACACTGAACATGACGATATCACACGATGACAAAGTGAAAAGATACAGCTTCCACTACAGTAAAAGAATTGAAAACCTTTAATGATTTTGCAAATAATATTCTCATCTGGATAAATAAAACATAGAAATGCAAACATGCTTGTCCATCCATCCTTGTGTTGTTGCTTTTTTCCTAAGTAAAAAATGTACATCATGACTTTGAAAAACTAAAGGAAGAACCTCCATAAATTCCAAAACGCTGATGTTGTAGATTGACTGTATTCTAATCTTTTATAAACCACCATCTCCTTCACGAGTTAATAAGATGTGACAATAGTTTATTATTATTATTTTTTTTAACATTATATGATTTGAAACATAAACCCTTACGAGGAGGACCGAGACAGACAGAGCAGGATGAAAGTGTTAGGTTTAACATCTCTCTTTCTGGCCGTGCATTGTGATCTGTGTTGTGATTTCCCATTGTTGCATGCTTCGCACAGCCGCAACAGAACCTCCCAGTGACGGCAGAAATACAGCATATAAAAAAGAGACACATTTGGGATATTTACACCAAATAACAAGAACCACTGGTGAGAACGCCTTTGAGCGAGGGAGAAGTCGCTGAAATGGCGACAGGAGGCGAGGGGGGGGGGGGGGGGGGGGACAAAGCACGCAGCCTGAAACAAAACAAGAGGTTCAGATTCTGGCAAACACACAGTTCATAGCTTCACCACCCAGCTCATGCTCAACTGTTCTCCGATTTTCAAGAGCATTGAAAAAAAAAACAAAACAAAAAAAACAACCAAGCAAAGGATTGTTATTTTTGTCAAGAAGGAAAGACGCCACAAATACAGGTAAATATGTGAGTTGGAAACACATCTTTGAGGATTAAGCTCCCATGAAAACTCCCCTGTCATCCAGTGATGTTAACAACGCCATACTAATCTGGCTACTCCTTTATCGCACCACAGAGTTCATAATATTACACTTCAATATGAACTATGTGGGCACTGAAATAGGCCCACCAGGTGCTAATGTTGTATTAAAATCAAGGTTAAATATATTAGGTGACTTTGCCATGGTACAGTGACAGAGCTTCGATATAAAAGCCCCATCCCAGCTCGTTTGCTGAGCACCCAGGGGTTTGTGAAGGGGACGGGGAAAAAAATAAAATAAAATAAGATTACAGCATTTTTGCTTTTTCGTAGTGTTACATAAAGCAGCTCTCCTCAGACACACAAAAATACTCATACACAACATCCTATCAGTCCATTCATTTCCCCTGGCTCCTTCCTCCTCCCTCTCAGATGCAGGTATGATCTGGTGGATCCCGCGTTTACATGGCTTCCATCGCCCAGCGCTGCAGGTCCTCCATGTCGTCCTCGTCCTCCTCTTTCTTGGCTTTGGGGGTGAAAAGACAGGTGGGGGAAAGCGGTGAGATATGTGAATGAACTGGTACGGTTATGTTTAGTTGATCTCAGCTGGTTTTGTGGCCTCTACTGAGCTTAAAATTTGACATTTTGGGAAACTGTTTGCCTTCTGGTGGAGAATTAGATGAGAAGATTTATATCTCTCTCATGTCTCTACCAGGGTTGCAGAACATATTGGTCTGGCAGATAAGTTAGAAAATTGGATTTGTGTTATTGTTCCACTAATGGAATTTCAGCCGACAATTAAATCCCATAATGCGGAGCACGGCTGCAGGTTAGGGATGGCGCTTAAAACCCAGACAGCAGAGCACAGAGAAGCCCCAGCGGAGAGAATGTGACTCTAAAAATGTATATCTATTTTCCTCTTCACGTTTTTGCATTTGTAAGATTAATATTGCCAATTAGCTAATGGAAACCGGTCACAACAAACAGATAATTCCATATTAGTGCACATCTAGGCTGTACTTGAAATAAAAGGCCACAGCCAGCCACCAGTTTATCTTATTTTAGCATAAAGACTAGGTACAGCTACTCTTCTCTGTCCAAGAGTAATAAGATTTTATATGTTACTCTATTGTAATATAAATGTCATTATCTGTTATGTTCTTTGTGTGTAGCATGGACTACAAACAACATTTCCTTGTACAACCTTGTGTTACATAATGACAAATAAATTACCTTGCTACCTCATGTGTGAAATCCATACAAACACTGAAGAGCAAAAACAACAATTTGCCTTTTTACACAGGGTTAGGTGCTGGACTATTTCAACTTCCTGGAGTCTCCACTGGTTACCTGGCAACTGCGCAGAGCCAAGAAATAGTCCGGCACATAAACCCCCCAGAAAACGGCAAAAAATCTTCTCATCTAACTCTCCCCCAGAACAACTGAATAACCAAGTTGTATTAGTTTTTCAAAAAGGCTCCTACCAGGTCTGGCAGGTAATGAAGTAGAAGGCACGTTGGGGAGGGGGACATTTTCTGATCCCCCGATCTCCAGCAGGTTTTTGTCCAGCTCCTCCTGTTCTAGCTCATCCAGCTCCGCCAGCAGCTCATCCTGAGAAACACAGCAATCAACATGAAACATGAGGGTAAACACAAACTATTTCTGCAACACCAGAAACCACAAAGATACCGTCAAAATGAGGGTGCGATGGTGAGTAAAATGTCTCGCCGAGAGTTTGATTAAAACGCTTCAAGTCAGTTGACTGAGAATTTCAGAAAGAGCGTATTCATTCTTCCTGCCATATTATGCCAGGATGTCTGAATACCATCAATTGCGGTGAAGTGGTTCTCTGAATAAGACCATTCAAAAAAAAGGCTGATTCAGAGAAATGACTCAAGGAACACAACCAACTGTGTCTAGCCTGGTGGGTCACAGAACAATGCTGAACAGCATCAAGTCCATAATGCTGAACTTTGCTCTACCGGGTTAGATATGTTATCATCAGTTCTTCGTTCATTGCTGTGTTAAAAAAAGCACATGTTCTCAGCTGATGGACTGATGGTGAGGCAATATTTACAGTAAATCTCAAAATAAATGAAGACACTTTCAGATAGCTGTCGGTTTTAAAACAGGAATCACTTCAGAATCACACACTGCATTTCGAAAACACCACAAACCACCAAAAACCTCATAAATGTAAAAGGAAAATCTAAAATATACATCACGCACTTCATCAAACTCCTCTCCAAAGCCGACAGGTTTGGAGATGGCGTCAGAGATTTCCTGGGCCAGCTCCTGCTGCTCTGTAATGTCCTGCATCAGGTCGTCCACCTTGTCAATGTCCCTGAAACAACAAGCAGGGGAGGATTCATATGCGAGTACAAGAGAGTGCACTACCTTTTAATCAAGCCTCACGTTCCCACATATACTGATAAATTGGCAAAGTGATGCACATGGCATGCAGCAATGCAAAAGTACCTCACATGTGCAACCACTGATGATGTCCATTTAATATGCAAGTTAGCAGTATTTTAGTAGGGAAACATTTATGAATGCCTCTTAATATTATACGTTCTTCATATTCGTTTTTGTATTGTTTTTGAGCCTGTCACAGATTCAAATAACATAGGGTGCTGATGGGTTTGGATTAAGAAGGCATTACTGCATACGGGTCAAATGCTCTGTATTTTGATATGAGAAAATTAGGGCTAATTGCAATTTGATTTGCGATATTGAAGGGAAGGATCATTTTTACATCATTATGCACATTTTCATTGAAAAACATGTTAAAATGATTATAGTGTGATTTTTGAGGGGATCTGTACCAAACAAAGATGTTTTATTAAGTCTGTAGAATATGATGTGTAGACCAGGACATCTCTGCAGCACAAAAATATTTAATTTTAAAATGGTATTTTCATCTTTAACAAATATTGCACCTCTTGCGCTTTGAAAATTGCAGTAGACCATATTGTGACTTTGATAGAATTTTGATTAATTGTTGCCCTAGAGAAAAGCGTATTCCTCATATTTTCTTTCTGTTGATTTATAACAGACAGAATCTTTTCTTACTCTCCCTGTAGTCCCATGAGGGCAATTTAGAAGCAGCAGGCTACAAATATACTATTTTCATAAAGAGGCTTCACTTTAGCCAATTGCTCAATCAATCAAACTGTAAAGAACTTAAACTGCGCCTGTGTGCCTGCTCTTACATGTTTTCATGGGCAGATTTCATAGCCTTGGCAGCGTAGCCCATATTCTTGAGCACTTCAGTGTTGGTGTTGGCGTTCTCCAGAGCCTCTCTCTGGAACTCGATGGTTGACAATGTGCCGTCAATCTGGGCGAGCTGCTTCTCATACCGCTTCTTTCTTTTCAAGGCCTGCAGAGCCGCTGAGGAGAGAGAGGCAGAAGGAAAGGAGTCAGGACGAACAGACTGTGACAAAAATAGACTGACTGCGTCGAAATGTGATTCAGTGACAGTGGTGTAAAACCGTGAATCACCTAGATTGTTCTGTAATTAAACAGGAATGAGAGGCAGAATAAGTGCTTAAACATTGGCAGTAGTCAGCGCCACATCTTATGCTCTGCAAAATTACAGTCATCCACCACTGAGTGGAATCATAAATAAATGCTTTAAATATTAATCTACTATATAATAATAATAATAATCCATTTTATTTCTATAAATGTATTTCTATTTCTCTTTCAGGACACTCAAAGACACTTAAAACCAGTAGTTTTAGCATGTTTAAAATAGCCGGGGAGACCATAAAACCAGGAGACAGCAGCAGTTGAAATGCAATTACTAGAGTTTGAAGGCTAGTCTAAAGAGGTAGGTTTTTATAAGTGATCCAGATGTGTACACGTAGGACGTTCCAGAGGGAGGAGGCTGTGATGGTGAAAGCTCTGTCACCCCAGGTATGGTGCACTACATTAGTGACCGTTAAATCAACAAAGAGGGAAATTAGATATAGCTTGTCGCTGGCACTTTACTGATGAGTGGAAAAAGTGGAAAGAAGAAATGAATCAGCCAGTGTCACATGACCACAACCACTAACTCACACCTGATAAGCCGGAGTGAAACCATCAGAGTGTCATACTGGAATGAGCAATTCTGTCAACCTCTGGGGAGTCTTTCAAGCCAAATACAAGAACAGTTTTTTTTCCTTTTTAAATGCACACTAACTAAAACATTGATGAATATTAAATCATTTCTTATGATGATATTTTTTGCGCCACTTGTGGTGACATAAATCAGTCTGTCCATCAGGTTTTCTCTTTGCACCACTGTCAGTTCAAAACATTCCCATTAATCAACACTTTATAAAACTACTAAATACAATATGGATATTCATGGTCCCAGAGGATTTACTCTGGTGACCCCTTGATCTTCATTCTAGCGGCAACATCAGCTCAAAATGCCCAAAGTAATAATCATAATAAATCCAACAGCCAACCAACCACATTCAATATCCCCAGAGGACAAAACACTTTTGTATTAGCCACTCTGAGGGCTTCCCTCCAATACCATCCTCAGACCAAAATGTCAAATATTACCAACAACTTTTCAAGTTTGGCTTTTATTTGACATCTAGTAAATGTCAAATGTACTTTAAATCAACTAGATTAATCAACAGGTGCACCACCACACACACAACTTTATCATGTTTTACCACATGTAGTAACCGTGTCAGGATAGGATCTTCCGGCCACAGTAATATTTTTGTTTCCTCGGTTGCCCACCATCACTAGTGATAAACAAAGTTCAGTTTATGGGTCTTTCTAGACTAATTAGCTTATACATTAATTAGCTTATACATTAATTAGCTTTCTCAGGATGTCTGTAGCTTTCTATGCAGTCTTCTGAACAAGATGCAAACACGCCCACAGCAACATGATGTCCTTTTAACATGTGCTACACCAATACTCAACCCTTGTCCCGACACACAGAGACAATAACTTTATTGCCCGTGTCTCTGCAGTAGGACACCCAACGTTAGCTGTATCGCTCGCCACACCTTTAACTTTTGATTTTTAAAAGGCCATTGATCAATCAGACGAAAAATGTTAGCACCAGATATGTTAGCAAAGGACAAGGCTAGCGTTACCTCAGCGGAAATAAAAGAATGATAATCTATTATCACATAATTCAATCTCACACACAATCGACAAAACGCACGCTTCTCTCAAGTGGCCGTGATATTAACGACGCCCGGTGAGGTTGCCAACACTTCTGACAGCTCGGGAAAGTTAGCCAACTTAGCTAACGTGCTAACATTTAGCTCGGGGTTGTTGACCAAGTAATTTTATGATAAAGAGTAGGAACGATCACAAAATACGCCCTGATATCTCACCTCGTTTGTTTTTCGTGCCGTTCTTTTTGGCAATTTGCAGCTCCTGCTCGATCTTTTTCTCTAGAAATTCCTGTTTCTTCGTTAGCATCTCCTCCGTCTCTCGGAGTTTCTGGATCGCCTCCTGTGGGCTCGGTCCCTTTGCCCCTTTTCCTCCTCCTCCAAATATCTTACCAAACAACGACATTTCTGGGATGCTACAGCACACTAATTATAAAAAAACAACAAAACAAATCGGCAAAATGCCCCAGAAAATCAAGCTTAGCTACCCCGCTGCTAGGCTACACTGACACTTCGCCCTAGCCTGGAAGGGTTGTTGATATTTTTCTACTTCCTGGATAAGGCCCAATGACGTCATATTGCCCGATGAGGGGTGGGCGTTGCTCGTTGCATCTCTGTCTCCATCTGCTGGACAACTGGAGCTCTGAAAATTACTGGACCAATTTTAACGTATTTATTAAATCACCAGTTTAGTTTTCTAAACATAAAAACATTAAGCTATTTAATACAATATAACGGTGAAGTATTTTGGTGAAATTTGATGACCATCTGCTTTATCAGTCACCACTAATAAAGACCCCCTCCACTCGTGTTTTGCTTATCGTTACCTCGCTTGAGTGTTTGAGATTCCCTGTGCAGAATGATGTATGTGCAGGGTTTGACACTTGAAGGTTGTTTTCATAAGAAGAAGGTCAAAGGTCATTCATGGTCAACTTACCCTAGTAAGTATGATTTGGAAACTGGAAGCCACCAGTGCAAATACGCTGAGAGCAACATTTAACTATTGAAATGAAAAATATTCATGCATGCACATAGATCCTAGATTGTTCAGTGAGGGATGTTGTTGGAAAATGTTGTTGTATTTCTTAGATTATTCAAGTCAGAGCACTTATTTTATTTTCTATTTAAATATTTTTTTAAATTATAACATTTTTTATATTTTCCTATGTTGCTTTTATGTTTTATGTAAAGCATTTTGAATTACCTTGTTGTTGGAACGTGCCATACAAATAAACTTGCCTTGCCTTGTCACATGTGGAGGGGGACTCCAGCAATTTAGAACAGCCCCTGTAAGTAAAGTTCAGTGACTTGCAAAGGAGAGATTGAATAAACAATGATCAAACTGATGCAGCCTAATATCCTGACTTTTACTCCCTAGCTAGGTAAAGCTCCAAAAACACCTCCAAGATCATGGAATTCCCAAAATGCTAATTTCTTTGGACCCTTGGATCTTTGTAACCTCTCAGCCCCACTTTGAAATGTCTTTCTGTTAGAAAGTGCAGTCTCAAACCCCTGGTTATAATATGATAATGACTTTATGCTCCGACATAATAAAACTGTTCTCACAGACTGAGTAGCAGTGCTTTAATCCACCAAGAGCAGTTCTTTTCCAAGATTTTCTTCCAGTACTGAATAAACCCCTAAATAATAGTATTGGCTAAGTGGTTCTGCACCCCATGTGGGGTTTTTTTTCTTAGTCTATCAAACATTTTTTTGCAGACACACACCCACACCTTACTCTTTTCAAAGACTGCAATCCATTCTAAATGAGCAAAAAAAAAGAGTAAACTTTTCACAGAAGCAGACAGTTGGGGGTTTATGTGTTTTAATTCATTATGATGCTACATTATGATGATCCATGGTGGTTGTTTAATTATCGTTTTCCTTTATTACAGTATGTTAATCACTTTGCCAGTTATCTTTTTAAGTCGTTTTTATTTTTATATACATACAAAAGAGTATCCAATTACTGTGATTACATTGTTGTGTAACTGTATCTTTGCATGTGTGGTCTGAAGCACTGTCGCCTTTTTTCTTTTATGTAGTGTGTATTCACAGGTCAGTCCTCCTCCCAGCCGCCCACATTCCCACTTTCCCTCCTCCCCGAAGCTCCCTCTGGCAACGAAAAATACAGATATTTATTCTTTTTTCCTTTTTACCAACCTGCTTAGATGGTCACGTGATAGCCGAGATAATACAGCTGTGTTGTCTCAGTTATCTCGCAACCACCAGAGCCCAACAGGAAACAAAAGAGATAATCGAAAAGGAAACAAATCACACACAAACTGATAAACCAGATTCAAGATGGTCCCTTTGAAAAAAAAGTTTTTTTGTTTTGCTAATATAACTTCAACACTCAAAAAATAATAATCATAATAAATCCATGTCATTTCATGCAGACTGAAGAGTGGACACTTGAATATAGTGCATTTCAATATTATAAACAGAAGCATTGTGGCTAAATGATAATATAAGGAAAAAAAGCAAACAACTGCTGTAATACACTAAAAGGATGCAAATACAATACTCCGTGGGCAAAATTAAACAAGGTGGCCAAACTATTATAACAAACAGTATGTTATATATTGTAAATGTCTGTGTTGGTTTTGCATGACAAGGTTTCTGCTTGATGGGGTCTTCTTCAACCCGAGGAGGCAACTATCAAGAAAATTAAAGTGTTAAAGACATCAGATTTTCCCAGTTAACTAAATTACAGCTTTGATTTCGTACTAGATCACTGTGCAGCATAAATTCTATATCATAATTTTGATTTTACAGAGTTATAATTTTACAAATGGCCTAAACATAGATAATTGAATTTCTGATTCCTTGGTCTGGTTTCACGACTGAAATGATCAAAGGATTGAATCTGATTTTCAACAAACATAGCCATTTTCTGTTGTGTACAGGAAATCTGTTCATATGACAGTTTAGTTTTCAAACCAACCCTCTTCCTTTGTTCTCAAACAGCCTGTGAGAGTTCACCGTTTGTGGTCTCCTAACATAAAAAACATCCACATCCCTCCTGCAGGAGGCAAAATCAAGAACACACGTGCACACACACGCGCACGCACGCACGCACGCACGCACGCACGCACACACACACACACAGAGCTTCTACTGGCTCTCATTTTTACCACATACTGTTTAGAAGACAATACATAGAATTTGAGTCTTTCACTGATCACTTGTGTTCACCTCTCCTTGCAGATTATCAGTAATAAGTGGAGGAAGGATTATCAGAGTGTTAGATCTTTCTTACAGACTATGTGAGTGAGGAACTTGAAGACTTGAATCAATAAAGAATCAACAAAAGACTTTAGACATTCAACCAGCGTGAAGCCACTTGAACACACCACCAACTGTTACCTGTGCAAGTTGCGGAAGATCATTTAGGAAGGAGGGATGGACGGAAAGAACAGATCAGAGGTGGTGATTATTTCACACAAAAAAGAAAAAAGAAAAGGCAAGACCTGTGACAAAAACGCTCACACTCATGGTTTAACTTGGGATCGCCTTCCTTTGTTTTCTTTTTACACATTAAATTATTTTCCATCCAGACAAACCATCATGATATTACTGTTTAAGAAAAAAAAAAAAAAAATTTCAACATAACCCCAGAAGACATCCCTGTTGCCATTCGTGACACGTGTCCTCCCAAGCACGCCGTCCATCCGTCTATCACTGTGCTCTGTCTGTCTGTGTCTCTACAGGGCCAGCTTGCCAATGATGACTCCAAAGACAAAGAAGAGCACGCAGAACGCCAGGACGCGGGTGCTTAGGCCTTCGTCCCTCATGGCCGAGGTTGCCATGGAAGAAGAGTGAGGGGTGCCCAGTGAGGTCACCTTTCTCTTGTGCAGCCCGTCGTCATCCTGCAATAAAGAGAGAGGAGTCAGAGAGAGTCAGAAATTTGACCACTGAACAGGTCTTGGTTCTGCGTTCACACCTGAAGGTCCGCACCAAAGTTCATGTTGTGATACATTCGGTTAGTTTTGGTTTGGTCTCACTAAAGAACTTTCCATGGCAGACTTGCGTCATGTTGTCTTCATCTATGATGAAAAACTGAAATGGACTGGATCCAAACCCTGTTTCAGTCGGTTTACTGTTGAACCGAAGCACTACTGCACCTCAATGGAACACTTAAAAAATAAAAAAGCGATAAAAAGCTCCTATATTCAATGTAAGATTTATTTAATTGATTGTATTCTTTGCATTTTTGTTTAACTTTAAAAAAAAAAAGTGATAAGAATGAATGAATGAATGAGGAATGAAGCGATGCATATTGTTGCCACTTTATTGTTATTATTATGCCATTACTATCTGCAGCACCAACTATACTGAAGGCTAGTTTAAGTTTGCTAAATAAACATCCTTGTTGAAATGTGCTATACAAATAAACTTGCCTTGCTATTTATAATTGTGTCCTTATTCCAATGCATTTATCCGTGCATTTGTTTCCAGTTTACACAGGGACTGTCCAAAAAATACTTTCAAGCTAGAAGCGAACCATTGTTCAGTTTGTTTCGGATTGAGACTACATCTTTTCGTCGGACCAAATTTCATCCGTTTGGTCCGGTTCATGGTCCCGGGGAGGTTTCACACCTGTAATTTTGGTTCGAATTGAACCGAAAAGTCCAAACATCCGGAACAAATGAGGTAGGTGTGAAAGCCCCCTTAGACTACAAATAAACTGGATTTTTTAACTCTCATATACTGATATTAGGATCGGCCTTCAGAATAGAAAGGGTGACGACAAAGTACCATCACAGTGGACAGCCTTGTTTTTCAGAAGGTATAATATATTGCTGCCTTCAAGTGCTGTCAGGAATATCTCATCAAGTCCTCAAATAAAGTTCCCAACGATGGAACAAAACTAGAGTCTTAGGACGCCATTGTTGTCTAAGTGTGATGATTAGGGTACAAGATGAAAGCATGTATTTATGTAAAGAAAGTGTGGAGCACTTGACTTCAAAACTGAGGAAACCACAGCTCATTGTTGTTGTTTTGTAAACTAACAAAGTAAAAGGCATGTTGTTTTACATTGAATATAGCTGCGTACATAAACCCTTGATTGATAAACAATATTAAATAACTTTTTTCTCTTTGCTTCTTTTCAACAATTGATCTTAATTCTGAACAAAAAAACACAAACGTATAGAAGTAGTATCTGGCTTCAAAACAATATTCATTCGACAAGCGCATGAATGCAACCAGATAACAAGGAGCAGTCTATCAGGGCAAACTGCTCCCTATAAGCCTCTACTCTATCAGTGGCCTCCGCTTGTTATGAAATACTGCAACTTTTTTCCCCCCACTACAATATTTGTGTCAGTGATAACTTTGCCCCCACCCAATGTACAGATATGCAAGTGCACAGATGATCTCATCTGGTTATAACATAATTCCTGGTACCGGTGCTGAATTTGTCTCAACAACATTAGAAAAATATGAAAACATACAAGACTTAGATTTTTTACATTTTATAAAGTGCAGCTTCTAACTTCTTAGGCCTCATGTGGAAAGAATTTACCCTTCAGGCAATGATTGGGACGATTCAGTTTTCTTGTTCAGTCTCACAAGGTGCAGCACTTATCTACAAACTAAATGTTTTCCTATAGATTAACTTAAATCCAAACCAAAATCCAAATCATTTACCCTGTCATTATTTTAGATGTTTTGACACGCAAGAATGAAACTAGCTTTGATTTTACGGTGTATGACGAGGAAGTTCTGGAGTAGAAAATGCAAGGCTGAAAGAAGACGCAGACAGATAGCCTTGGATTTTTTTGTTTGTTTTGTTTTTGTGCGTCTCACCCTGATCTGTTTGTTTTCTTCCCGTAGCCTCTGCACCTCCATCTGCAGCCGCTTGCACTCCTCCATGATCTTCTTCACCTCTCCGTCATCCAGCGAGGCACTGGCTGACTTGGGCAGTGCGGAGTGCTCAGTCTTAACAGAGGAGGCAGAGGAAGACACAGTTTTGTTGCTTTCACTCTCATGCTGCGGAAGAGAGTGAGGGTGGGGGGGTGAGAGGAGAGGAAGGGGATGAAGAGACATGCAGAGACATGGTAGGGAGTGAGATGAAAGTACTAACAAATAAATCACAAATAAATAAGGATGCAATGAGTGATACAGTGATGTGTTGCTGATGGGTAGGAGACTGAAAAAATACTGAGTGTAAGGGAAAAAATGTAACTCTTAAGAAACATGGAATGTGAATGTTTAAATTGGATTTAAGTCTTTAATGTCTAAAATGGTTATCCTAGGTCGGCTTTACTGAGTTTTGTGAAATACATGATGCAACATTTCCCAGTTTGTGGATCTGATGTACATGCGAGAAACCGCCTTTTGTGCATTAACACCTGACACTTATTGATTGAAGGCTTACACTGGCACAACAAACGCCCGTTAACGGAGGAGTGAGACTTACAGTTTTGTCATTTTCTAGAGGCATCTCAAATGCACATCTCAATTTTGAATCCATCAGCTCTTCAGGTTTTGCCTCCTTCCACTGTAGATGCAGACATCGAGAGGGAAAGGGAGACAGATGGGGAAGAAAACACAGCGAAAGTTCATACAGGGATTCTTCAGAAACAGACCAGGTTAATTTATCTTTCATGTAATTCAAGGGAAACACTCTACAGACATGATCTTCTAAAGGATTTGGGACATGTATTATAAATGCTTATGTTTCAGAACAGACAAACATAAACTGCAATATTCAAGAGTTCAGCTGGAGGTACTTTGGGGTTCTGAAAGGGTGTGGTTCAACATGAAAACTTCAGGGTCAACCTGCATTAAGGGGTCAACAGTAACATAGTTTAACAAATAAATAAATATATCCTTGCGCTCAATGAGAACAGAATGCCAAATCATATTTTATGCTCTGGTACTCACAACTCCTTCCATGTCAGTCATATCGTATGGGGCCAGCATGGACTGCACCATGAATTTGTGTTTACTCTTTTCATTGGGGTCGTAGTCAAACGGCTGTAGCATAACTGTGGACAGTAACAGAACAGAGAACATTAGGGAAAGACTTCCTGTATTGCCCCATAATAACTATTATGCAACCTTCAAACAAAAAGACGTCAGTCAGGTTTATGAGTTGGGTTACACCGTGACCTCCTTACTCCTCGTGAACTGACTACTTGCATTGGAATGTTCAGGTTTATGTCTGGATCACCATTTAGTCAATGATTCTGGTCACACTGAATGTTAGAAATCCAGTTTATCTGTTTGGTTTCCAAGATAGTAATGAAGATAACAGAAGCGCAGGACAGTTTGAATTCAAACATCAACATAATAGAGCAAGAAAAAAAAATGACCACTCAAATTACTGACACCGTCTTTTAGAGCTTGTAAGTGTTTTTGTCCCACGCCACCTTACTGAGGCTAGAAAATTTATTTTGGTGCCGTAACACAATAGATTCTGGCTGCAGTTTGGCATTTTTTGTAATATTCCTTGATCTATATCAATTGAATCATATGAGACTAGATGTCATCTAGGATTTTTGATGATCATGATAGCTTGATATAGCTGGCTCTCATCTCCTTGTGTTACAGCCTGCACTAAAGTAAAAAGACACAATTTTCTGAACTTATTTTAGTGTTGCTGTTGGCTGAAATGATCAATAAAAGCCTACTTCTGCTCAGCCAATAGATCCACAATGGTAGTGATTTTTTCCCCCCCGAGATACCAAATACATATTCCTAATTTAGACATACTGTCTGAAAGCCACAACAGACAGTACACAACACAACATCACATCGTTAAAGCACCAAGCCAAAAATATAGATATCTGATTGGATCTGAATCCCATTTGACCGGGCTTTTCAATTACGTTGCCAGAGGATACCAAAATGCATACAAACCAGAGACATTGATGGAGGTGCCAGAGTCAATGATGCCACTGTTTGGGCGCACACAATATCTGCGAGGTGCGGTTGTCTTGACTTTGAAACACACATTTCTATCTGTGGGGTTGGTGAGTTTCAGAGTGGCAGTGACGACATCTGTAAATGGGCCTGAGGAGGACAGAGAGAAACAACACAATGACTCAAAAGCGTGGGTGTGTGTCTGTGTGTGCAGATTTACACACTTATCTACTAGTTTGGTAGGTGCATTTGTTTGTCATTTGGGTGCATGGCTTAGATTCCTAGTTAAGACTCAAGACTAGGCACTTGTTTGATAACCTGCGTACACATATTGGAAGGATGAATATGTGAGTAGTGTTTGTGAGGGACGCCATAGAGCCTACCATAAACATTGCACATTAAACATTAAGTGGAAAGAGCGGCAAAGTGTGGAAGTGCTTATTTTATTATTCATGCCCCGCCCTCAGCCAAAAACTGGATGCTGTAGAAAACTTGCATCTTTGTGACATATAAGAGCTAATGTTTTCTTGTTGCTTCACCCTCAGTGTCCCTCATAAACCATCTGACCATGTTTAATGACTCCACACTGGAATAGTCAACCTCTTTTGACAACTGAACCATGGTTTTGGACCAAACATCACTGTGCTTTGTGCTCTGATCAGTTACACTGTGCATCAGTAACTGAGGGGGTGTATGCATCATCTTCTGCTTATCTTTGCATTAAAAAGCTCTGCAATAATCAATAAGTGAACAATCCACTACTGACTGCTTCCATCACCTTAGGCCATCGCTTGACCCATTTCTACAGCCAACATCACACCCAAACGCAATTATCTACACATACAGCCATTATCCCTGGCACACCAGCTTAGTCTGTATTTTCACAATCTTTCTGGATTGGATATAGTAAAGCTGGAAAAGAATTCAGGTTGCACAGGCAGAGTAAACGGTAATGCTCTCAATCGCAGCCAGCTAGTTTGTAATATTGTGAAATAAGCACGGTAATAAGGCTAAGCAATGACACCCTGATCGTAGAAAATGCTAGAATAGTAACTTCTTGGCAGCCGGGTGTTAGCAACAACACCGACAGAAAGGCATATGCCAAGTATATGATCATAGAACAGTGTCTGACGTGCTGTCAGAGGATGAAAGACAAGACATAGGGCGCAAATGAGTGAATTAGAGAAATGGGACGGCGGGCCTGCCCTGACGCTGCAATGACAGTTTGACTTGCTAGCCACGTTAGCTGAACGCTACCGAGCTAGCTAGTTAGTTAGTTAGCATTGTCGCACACAGTGTCGTTTCACCTGTCATCGCCACTGCTGCCGTACACACAATGTAGACCACGGCTAACGCTAACCACATCCGTCTAATTTAATAACAGCAAAAAACAAATAACGACACATTAGTGGACGTTAAGCGGGTAATGCAGAAATCGACACAGTTGCTTTCACTAAAGCCTTCTAGGTTAGCTTCCTAACCCCGGCCCTGCCCTCTGCTTCAGCATTAGCTAGCCGTTACCTCTGAATTTCAGTTCGTGTTGTGGCTCTAGCACCAGGACTTGTTCTGGTCTGGCCATGTCCCAGGGCTTCTTCCTGTCGTGACGGCGAGGACAACAATATTTTACCGCAGGTAGCCCAGAGAGGTGAAACCGCTGGCTCCCGAAGAAACAACCTGGCCGTCCACGGTTTTTCTATGGGAGGAGAGGAGGAGGAGCAGGACGATGATGATGATTACAAATGCACCACCACCACTCGGACGGACGGGCTGGATGACTGACTGACTGACTGACTGACTGACTGCCACCGACAGCTGCTGGGGGCTAACGTGCTAGCGCTAACTCTGCTAGCAGCGGAGGGAGAGACGGGAAGGAAGGAGGACTATGACGTCACACAAGGGGCGGGGCTGGTGCGGGATGTCAGGTGGTTTCTTGACCGTTACACAAAGAAACGTTGACATCGTCAATGCAAAATTGTACTTGTACACAGTCTAACCAACTTGCACCACTTTAAGACTGAGATAATACTCTGCTATGGAAAACTACATGGACAAAATAATCAGAAAGCCAAATACTGCCGTAGACATCGTTTTAGAAATAATGGCCATGATAGTTGATAGTCCCCTAAACTAGGGTTGCCAACCGTCCCTTAAAATATGGAATTATCCCGTATTTAGAAACTAAAAGACGTGTCCCTTATTGAACTGATAAGGGACGCATTTTGTTTCATATTTTGAGAACAAACGTCTGAGCAATGAAACAGTGCAGCTCTGACTGCTGCTGCTGTCTCTCCCTGTCTGAACCAATGAGGAACGCTGTCAGTGTCGCTCCAGTGACAGCGCGAGTTCAATAAACATGTCTGACGCTCCACCTGTAAAAAAGACAATGGCAAAAAGAATATGAATTCAGAGCTGCCAACTCTTAGACTACGCATTGAGCGTGAGACTCACACAAATGATTCTTTTCACGTGTCAATTTTCTTACGTGTTGGAAAAACAAATGTAGGCTATAACTGATAACGTCTACTCGGCGCAAATCAACCTACCCCAACCGCAGTGCAATGCACAGAGTATATAGGGCAGGTAGACTTTAACAAATATTATGGATTATCAATAAATGATGACGTTAGTCTCGCAATATTATAACTTTTTTTCTTGACATGTCAGAGAACACAGATCATATGTGGGTAGATTTTGAATGTGCATAAAGTTTTGAACATGGGTAGAACAGGAACTATAGGATTTTATAACTGAATAAACAGATCATTGATTTGAATAGTTGCCAAATCCACATTTAAAGGTTACTTCACCAAACAAAGACACAAAAGAAGAGAATCGACTAAATTGTGAAAGAAAGAAGTAGGCTACAGAATGCTTAGAAGCCTTATACCTACTGCATTATATATTCTGTTATATTTTGAATTGTCCCCTGCTAACTGAGGTTTGTTTCCCTTAACATGACCTGAATGAAAACATTTCCACCATAACTGATGCCGAAAAAAAGGCAGAGATTGGTGCAGAAAATTTCACCAGAATACAGAAAATTAGGCGTTTAATGCGCAAAACTTTTAAGTTAACAGAAAACCTAACTATAACAACTACAATACTCCATATTCTCTACAATGCAACAATACAGGACCAACTGCAACATCTGCCATCGACAATTTAAAGTTTTGCACAGCTCTAAACAAGGAAAGATGTCTTGTTTAGCTAATTATATCGTATGAACAGGACTTCTTACAAACAAGTATATTGTATATTTACATATAATACATGTAATAAGGCAGTAATGCAGGTGTAAAACACGTTATATTTGCCCACGGTCCCCGTCCCCTGTCCCTTATTTCCATTTCAAGAAGTTGGCAACCCTACTCTAAACACCCACAGAAAATTATGACCAGAAAAGGCCACTAACATTTTTGATTTTGTTGTTCAGTTAGGCTTCTTCTAAATTCCATTTTCCAACATAAAGGTCTGAATGCTGTTTCAAAGACTTCTCCACACTGTGAGGGGTATACAGCAGTTCTGTGGGAGAAGTACTGATGAGAATTATGGTCTTTGAAGGGAGCCTGATCTTATGGCTCTGTTCTTTTCCGAGAGCTGTTCAAAAACATTTTAACTCTGCCCAGCCGATGCGATGCCAGTATACACATAGCATATACAGCATAACGAGTGGACCAGTGGCAGACAGTTAGTGACTAGAGTATTAAAGTCATTGAATTATAGTTGACCAGGAAGTCACGTGATTGAAAGGTCACTGAATTATAGTTGCCAGGGAACTATAATTGAAAAGTCATTGAATTATAGTTGCCAGGGAAATATGATTGAAAAGCGATCTATTTATTATTGACCAGGAAATGACATGATTGAAAAGCCATCATTTTATAGTTGACCGGGAAATATGATTAAGTCACGGCAATATAGTTGATGTTGGTGGATCAACATGTGCCACCGGTCCACTTGTTATCCCTGTGTGGGCTGTTACATTGAATGATGCTCAATTGATAATAAGGGGCCCAAAGTGTGCCAAGAAAATATCCTCCACCAGCCTGGAGCATTGATACACAGCAGGATGGAAATTCTGACCCTACCATCTGAATGTCGCAGCTGAAATCGCGACTCATCAGACCAGGCAACAATTTTCCAGTCTTCTATTGTCCAATCTTGGTGAGCCTGTGAGAATTGTAGCTTCAGTTTCCTGTTTTTAGCTGACAGGATTTTCACCTGATGTAGTCTTCTGTTGCTGTAGCCCATCTGCTTCAAGGTTGGACGTGTTGTACATTCAGAGATGGTATGCTGCATACCTTGGTTGTAACGAGTGGTTATTTCAGTTCCTGTTCCTTTCTGTCACCTCGAACCAGTCTGCCCATTCTCCTCTGACATCAACAAGGCATTTTCGTCCACACAACTGCCGCTCACTGGATATTTTCTCTTTTTTGGACCATTTTCTGTAAACCTTGAGACGGTTGTGCGTGAAAATCCCAGTAGATCAGCAGTTTCTGAAATACTCAGACCAGCCCGTCTGGCACCAACAACCATGCCACGTTCAAAGTCACTTAAATCTACTTTCTTCCCCACTCTGATGCTCGGTTTGAACTTCAGCAAGTTGTCTTGTTGCTGCCATGTAATTGACCGATTAGCAATTTGTGTTAACAGGGAATTGAACAGGTGTACCTATAGAGTGGCCTGTGTGTACTATACTTATATTTGTAAATGCAGAGCAAACGTGGCTATAAAACAGTTGGGCTTTTTGAAAAAGATTGAGATTTGAGAGTTGCATATATCCACTATGCCCACTGCTCAAAATCCTTTCTGCACATTTTGAAATTAGTTGAGAACAAAACAACGTAACAGCGATCAGTGGAAACCAAAATCACCAACCGACTGAGGGCTGCCACCCTCATGGAGTCTGTTTCTGAGCTTGACTACTTGTGCAACTGAATGGGCTGGAGGTCCAGCCTCATGCTACCAGTATTGACAAGGACAATAGCAAACTGCAAAACTAGAGAACAATCAGTAAGGAAGGATAAGGAGAGCGCAATTGTCTGTGGCCACCGCCTGCAAAACCATTCCCTTTTGGGGGTCGTCTTGCTGTTGCCTCTCCAGTGCAATGGCTGTAACTTTCATTTGCTCTAAAACAAGTGACACTTATTCACAATTGCTTAAGCTTCCTAAATAAACAGACTTAGATCCCTATAGTTTAACTGACATGGTGTTATACTAAGTGTTCCCTTATTTTTTGAGCAGTGTAAATTGAGTATCTTTGGCATAAAAATGTTCCTTCCGGGGTTAAAGGTTATATTGTGTGTTGAAGGTATAAAAAAGAAAATTTTTAATTTAACACTGAGTGAACTATGGGGTTAACGTGCTGTGTGTTTGGTGATCTGAAGATAACACTTAACACCTTTAACACCTTTCAACAGTTTCATTCCTGACTGTTGTCATAGCAACATATGAAAACACCAAAAAAACAAAAAAAACAAACAAAAAACCCCACACAAATCAGAAGTTGTATTTTCCAGAATAAGGTTGGATATTCAGAACTACTCCACTCAGTACATGTTTACCTTTAGGAACTCATTGAGGAGCCAACTGCATATTTAACTTTCAACCTGATTTCCAAATTACTGAGCTTCAAAACCAGAGGGCCTGCTGACAGAAACGTTACCATCTTCATGGTTGTCCCAATAAATACAAACTAAGGGTATCTAAAAAGGAAATGACTGGTAAACGAACAGGAAACTCCACTTCCTCTAGCGTGGATTTACAACAGCCCTTCCTGTTGATGGAAATTTAGGGATAAGATTGCAAAAATGCAGTTTATGTGAGAAAGCAGAGTTGTGTTGCCTATGAAGTGTTTATATGTAGAATGACAGACCTCTTGCTGTCTGCACCAAAAAAAACTTTTATTTCTTAGAGCTTCTGTTCAGAAAGTAGAGACCCATATTTGATGTACACAGTAAATGAAGACTAGGGCATTGAAATGACAGAAATGCTAATACTGTACAGGCCGCCTCTGCTGTGCAAGGCTAGCAACCAGAAAATAAACTTAAATGTTTTCTTTTTTGTCATTTTGTTTGGCCTTTGTAGCAAAAGAATAAGATCTCTGTAGAAACAAGCAATGTTTTGGATCTGTCATCTCTTCTTTAACCCTCAAAATGTCCTTTGTAGATGTCAACGGAGTAAAACAAAAGAAACCTGAACACAACTTCAGTTGAAAGGATTTAAGTTATAGCAATACGCACACTATCAAGTGTACAATTTGTCAAGGTTCATTTGATTCTAATAAAATACTTTTTTTTTTTTTTTTAAACCCATATACATTTCATATATTTATCTTTTTGGGGTATATGGATCCAAAAATAGACATTTAAATCATAAAGAGAGAATGAGAGGATAGGGGAGAGAAATAAAACTACAAGAGCCACGAATGGTTGTCCTCTGTCCAGAGAGAGAGCGAGAGCGAGAGCGAGAGAGGGAGAGAGCGAGAGCAGTGAGAGAGAGAGAGTGGTGAGAGAGGAAGGGGGTTAGGAGGGGATTGGCCAAGCTATACAGCGCAGTATCACACCCACTTTAGCTCATTACACACGTACAGTCGTGATCAAGGCACAGGGATCTTCTAAAAGTAATTTTTTTTTCAATAAAGTTGTACAAAATAATACATTTTACAGTCTGTACAAGAATAATAGTTCAGCAGTAAAGTAAAGACAGACATACAAAAGAGCAAGGAGTCGGGGAGGAAGGAGGAAAGGAGTCGGAATGACAGAGGGAAGAATGCCAGGAAGGTGAAAGCAAGCTGACCACATGAGTAAAAAAAAAAAATTAGTGTCCCGTTTGTTGTTGTCATCTTCTTTTTTATATTCCAGGA